AGAGTGTGGCTGGGCAGAGTGTGGCTGGGCAGAGTGTGGCTGGGCAGAGTGTGGCTGGGCAGAATGGGCTGGGCAGTGTGAGGCTGCGCAGAAAGACTGGACAGAGTGAGGCTGGGCAGGGTGAGGTTCGGCAGTGTGAGGCTGGGCAGAGTGATCTGAGAAGAGTGAGGCCGGACAGCCCTCGAACCCATGGTCCTTCGGACCGAAGCGCTGAGTCAGTTCACGCTCTTAGCCATCTAGGCCATCCAGGTCGGCGCACATAATATTTCGTTTTTCTTAAATCCCTGTGCACAAACTTGTGAAACTCGTGTGTAGAGGCGAATTCCGCGCGCTCACCTGAAGTCCTTGCCGTCGTAGAAGTCCCAGGCGGAGGCGTGGCACACGATCTCGCGGTCCTTTGGCTTCTCCAGGATGGACCGCTCCCAGAAGCTCTCAGGCATGGCGCTCAGGTTGAGTGACGTGAAGAACTGCTCAGACAGCTTGAACATGCGCTCAGGGGTGTAGCCCTGGAGCAACCATACCAAGTATTTAATGAATCGATAATATTTCTTTACATTACATACATGTTTTACATTGTTTTTTTATTCGCCTACAAAACGGTTAATAGAGCAATTGCTGAAGTAGATATGAACACAAATTCGACAGTGTCTGGAGTTTTAATCTATTCAAAAAATTAGGAGACGAAAATGTGGAAATGATAAGCAAATGCGGAGAAGAATCAAATAGAGTTGTAGAAGATATTGGGACAGAATTTTCGGATCTAATAATATTGAGATTAATCTCATTCGAGAATAACGCTGAAGAACAGCTTACAGATTATCATTTATGTGCATTTTGTGCAATTTGTGCGTATTGGGCATATTAGCGAAAAAGCGTACAATATATATGTGTACTTAATTCTAACTATTTGCATCATCCATACCTGTACGAATTTTTACGGTGATTACAATATTTTAAAATTGCGATGTTACCAGTCCATATTCCGTATGGAGTTAACAAACACAAGTTCATTGGGTGACGGGAATTTTTGAACTGAAGTATAACATTATCAGTTACTACGATTTATTGAAATGTTCAATGTCAAAGATCTAAGAATTTATTTGAACACAGCTATGCATGACATTACATATTTTTAATACATGAAAATATTTTGAAAAGTTTACATCGTCGGTGATACCACGTTCAACTTGTTTATTATTAATTTATTATTATTTATTATTAAATTATTTTGATTTATTATATTAATTTATTATTATATTATTGTTTTGGTACCTGTTCCAGCATCTTAGGAGTAGCGTCCGTGTCTTGGGCGTCGGGATAGGGCTTGGAAAATGGGAAAACAGCCTCCCAACTCTGTGCCCACATGTTTCCTAAAGACAGAAAAATATACAAACTTTTTTTTTCTATTTGCTTTTCGCGGCAATTCATATCTCACAGGTGCTCTCTAAAAACATTATCTAGAAACATGATCTAGAAATAACTTTGTAATTCTTCAGCTTTCACAGTCAAATAGCATAAATCAGACTTATCCATGAACAAAGCTTTGCATCTAATTACTACAGCCTGACCATACTCCAGTTGTTGGATTTTGCAGAGGTCTTAACTCAGTGTTAATATGCATCTATTATCAGGAAAAAAGTTTAATAATTTTTTGAAGAGCCGCTTAACATTTTCTTGATCAATTTTTCCAAAAGTATTCTCAAAATTTGCCATTTTGAACTAGGAGTGGATTCATGGAATGTTGGAGCTTAGGTATCCACTAGTAATATATTTTTATGCGAAACAATATTAAATATCTGTGAAAGTGCAATGGAAATATGTTTTCCAAGGCTAAAGACAAAGCAATTAAAAAATCGATTGAATATCCGGTATTGACCGGGTAATTATTTATCACAGTCTTCAACTACATAACCTTGCCCGTCTAGTCGACTGTGCCCGCTCAGTGTACACCACACATATGTATGGGTATGTGCAATGCGGGTTGAATAATTATGTTTGTAAATATCACTTCCTTCTCACCCACCGTTCTAAAGAGTGTTTTACCCCACAGTATTATTTTGTTGAAGTGACATTCTTCCCGCGTTGCATAGTTACGTCGGAACAAGGACACCTCATAGACATACATTTTCTTTGTATATTAATATTTTAGGCAATGCGTACATTCATGAGACAATATTTACACCGATGGTGAGATAAATTATAATATTACGTGTAATAATTATTTTATTTATTATAAGTAAATCACAAAAAACGTGTATTCTTGCAAATATTTTGGAGAAATGAAAAATCTTTTTTAACCTGTAGCTCGCTTGATATTTGGTTTCCATAAAACTATTTTATACAAAAGGGGTAGGAAATTTTATCCTCTTCAAAATTGAATTGAATCATTTTTTTTTTTCATTCCCGTAGACGTACGTATATACAGAGTAATATACGTAGTAAAGGGAAAGTTATGTAATGTTGAGAAAATCGATTTCGAAATTTCAGCGGAAATACGTAGGATAAGCGCTTAAACCATAGGTACTTTTTTTTCCAAATTGAAGAAACCCCTGTCCGTTTGGCTCATGTCGAAACTTCGAGATTTTGAAAAACATTCTTCCAAATTTGGGGTTTTTTCCCACGACGCCCTCCCGACATTTTCAAAATTTTCGCAAAAAGGGCTCCAAATTTACTACAATTTAAATTTCGGGTAAGAATTGAGTAAGTATATTTTAAAAGGTGACTTTTTACGCGGTTAACTCTGAATTTTCGAAAATTTCAAAAGTATGATTTTTTTCGGTGTCTTCCTACAACTACAAAATTAAAGAATGAGGTTTTTCCTTCAAATACAATTTGTTCTCCACAGTGAGTTTTTTTATTACGGTCATGTACAATTTTTTGAAATATCTTAGTAGTCTTTGCGCAATATTGCGTGAAATATGTGCCAGATTACAAAACAAGATTTTCTCAAAAACGGCTCCAATTTTTTTTACATTTGGTAGGGATATTGATAAATGTACTCTATAAGATAACATAATCACTTTTTGTCCTATTCTGTTGCTTTTTCAAAAATTACAAAAATTGATTTTTTACTTGTCTCTCATACCTTGAATATTTATACTAGCGGCAATTTGTTCACATTATTGTATTTTAAAATGCATGTGCTTTAAATCATGTCATATAAAGTTTCTCGGAAACTCAACCGTGAAAACTAACTCAAAATTCCGCATTTTCAGAAACGCTCAAAAGCAAGCAACAAAATCGCTTTACAAAGAACACACACATAACATACAACACTACCCTTGACCATCGCAAGGTTCCCCTCGGCACCTTGGAATTGACCGTCGCTTAAGCGTCGCGAACTGTTGGTTTGAACTAGTTCCTTATGACTATTTTCTTAAATGCTATTCTTCAACGCAGGTTTTTTACTGTTGTGTATTTCCGAAAGAAAGCGTCCAACTCCGTGGCTGCGTTGGGCTCAACGTACCGAGCAGGTGCGCAGGGATGGGCCCCTGCTGAGTGACCTCCGCGTCCCCGTAGCGCATGCGCAGATGCCTGCGCACGTAGGCGTGCAGCTGCTGATACAAGGGCTGCATCTGTTCCCAGAGGCGCTGGAGATCCTCACGGAAGTTGGGGGTTTCGTAGGCTTCCAGCCACATCTCTGAGTTGTCGGTGAAATCTGTAGCAAAAGGATTGATGGATTCAGTTCTTAGGTTGCGGAACCACCAGATATAATTGAAAAATATCTCTTAATATCTTAGGAATACACATTTTTCTTTTAATAACATTCAATATTCAAAATATTGCAGCACTATTGATGTATATGAAATCGTTTTAAAACTAAAGAGGGTCCAACTTTTGCTCTCTCCGCTTCCTCGTGCCTTGCCAGGTATTGCACTGCGCTCTTGGTTTTTGGTTTCATCACTGAGTTTACTGCATTTACTCTTTGGTCCTTCGATTTAACACGGGCAACATAGGGTCTTTTTGTTGGGCATCCAGACGGATGGCGCTGTCTAGCGCTGCGCGGCGACGGAGGTAGTCTCAGGGAAGTACCAACATTATATCTTTGTCTGAGTCGCAGCAACGTAATTTTATGAATTTCCCTTGTTACTGAAAGTATACAAGTCCAGTCAATTATTGACGGCATTTAATGTATTATTTTTTATTTAGAGTAATTTTCTTTCATTTGATATTACATTTATTGATTTAAAATGGACACTTGATTTTTTTTGTGTTAAGTTGCCTGATCTGGAAGGAAGTCCCTTTCTCGGTAGATGCAGCAGGCTGCAGTTACGCCACGGAGAGCGCTGGTCGAATATGAGCGTGTGAGGAAGGATCGTTGTTATAAAATATAGCAGGGTAGTGATATTTTCGAAATAAAATAATTTTATACGTGTGAAACGTGTTGATGCAATAGTGCTTGTTGCTATGTGCTGGAGTCGAACTTACGTGTCTAGTGAAAAATAAAAAGCCAGAACCACGTGCACGTGAGGTGTATAATATACCTAACTCGGTCACGACGCATACAGTTATGTAAGTAATGATTCAATAGACTTTCTTTTAACTTACTTTTAATTGAATTGCTTACATATTTATTATATTTTCGTAATCGAATTTTGGAAATTACATTTCCGTCATTCGATGGAGGTACAACCTCCAGTCTGTTAAGCGAACTCTTTGTGTGTTTCAGTACTTACTGATCGGTGAATACTTTCTGTTAAGTGAATACGTACTGTTGAGGGAATATCTACAGTTCAGTGAATACTTGCTGTTGAGTGAAAACGTATTGTTGAGTTAGAACATGCTGATGAGTGAATACGACTTTTGAGTGAGCACTTACTGTTGAGTACGGCCGCTTCGTTGCTAATGGCGACGTACTCGTTGAAAATATCGCGCACTTTCTCCCCGGACGCACGCCTCCACTCCACCCACACGTGACGCAGTTCGCCGGCATCCCTGGAGTGCGTCAGGATGTTCACCAGATCTACGACAGAGAAAGGAGATAGGACACTTGCTGGTTAGAGCCCGAGGAAGACGATACAGCACGTACTGTACAGCTGTTTGAAGCAAAGAAAGCAGATGCAGCATTTGCTGGTTAGTCAGAGAAAGGAAATACAATACTCGCTGGTTAAAATCTGAATAAGGAATTCTACACTTTCGAATCACAGAAACAAGTTACAGCACTTACTGGTTAAAACCAGAAAAAATATACAACAATGGCAAATGTAACAAAACAAAATTCCTCACCAACCTAAACTTGGTTCCCGGTGCCACTTTCTACAACTTGGGAAAATCCAGAAATGGTGCGTGTAGAATCAAATCACGCCTTCCTAAAGATCATTTCATACCTTCGTAACCATCATAAACACGTAATCCTTAGCTTAGTACCCTCCCCTTTTCCCACTCCTATCGCACCACTGCCCTGAGAATAAAATCCATATAAGTGAGGTCCCCAGAGGGGGTTCCCCCTCACAAATGATATTGGGTTGAGTTCGTTTAATTGCAAGTACCTCGGTGTTTTTGAGTTAATATTGTGTAACTTGTTTTAGTGGTGTATTCTATTTCATATCTGTTAAGTGATTTATTCAATTAAGTGATTTATACAATAAATTTTAAAGAAATTACAACACTTGGCGGATAGAGCAAAGAATGGAGATACAGTACTTTCAGCTAAGAATCAAAGAAAGGGGTGCCCACTGATTTTGAAATTACCGAAGATGATACAGTTGTTACGAGATTTAAAGATAAAAGGCTATTCAATGATTAAAATGTAACAACGAATGCAACTAATTTTCAATATACTGTTGTAATGAATAAGAAAGGATGTTGGATGTGTTTTTGATAATAATCATTAAACATTTGAAATTTCCCTTTGCAAGAAAGTCCCCTCTACTTTTTAAAGCTATGTCTTCTTCAAATTTTGTATTTTTCTACAATTTTTGTTCAATTTCCATGTCCTTTTACCGTTGACCTTGTGCTTTCTCTACCATACATCTTTCTCTCCTGGCATTCCTATTCAAATTGCTTTACATTTCTCTACATCTATCTTCCCATCCTATCATTTTTATGAAATTTCGTTCGCTCTCATCACTTCCCATCTCATAATACGCCTATCTTTTCTTTCCTCGTTCCTGATCGATCTCCATTCTACATCTACCTTTTTCTCTTCTGTCCTTTGTAATGTTACCTATCGATTTTGACATTCTTTTCGTCCCTCTCCTTTCTGTTCACTTTCGTCTCTCTCGTTTATTTCTCACAATTCTACCTTCATTTCTTACTATCTCATCTTGTTTTCTCTCTCTCATCAAATTGTGCATATTTAATTTAAAGGATTACTATTAAACACTCACCTGGCTCTAGGCTGAGGTCGCATTTCGTTTTGTTTCGATAATCACAGATTTTGGCTTTGCTGTAGACTGTCTGCATATCTGCTATTATTTTCTGCAACTGTAAAATACGAAACAAAATTTTAATGGTTCATTCCTGCACATCTCGTATATTAAAAGGAAATGAACTGCTTATTACAAATTTAACAAAACTGTGGTTGTTTTGTTGCCTAAATTGGTATTGATTTCGGAATCTTCACGTGCTATATTGAAAATGTCGCAAAATTCGGTGAACATCATTTCATGATGTTTAAACAGTAAGTGCTGCCATTCAGCGTCAAGGTTTTCAGGTCATATTTATATGCTTCTATTTTCATGGAGAAAAATCATCTAAGGAACATCAAAAAACCCGCTCTATCAAGTACCAACGGCCACCTCTGACGATAGATGAGTGGAAAGAGTTTAAATGAATTCTATTACTCTCGAAGCGGGAAATTACACCTAAAGATGGACGAAACACTAAGTGGACAACGACATACGATGCAGAGAGCAACGACAACCACTGCATTAAAGATCCATATGCTGTAACCGCCACCTCGACTACGACCTAAAATATTTGTAGAAAAGGAAAAACCGGCTTGTCACCGACTAGTGCACTTCCTGCGATAACCAAGTATTCGTAACGACCGCTAGAAGGCGCTGATTCTAATCTCTGCTGTGGATATTATTCGCTCCACCGCACCAGCCAATCAGAAATTTCTTCCGCAGGTGTTCGCATATTATCGAGAATAAATGAGCCTTCGTCCATTCTCTGTCGTGAATTTGCGTGAAGAAGGTGTTCCGGAGAGGATTGCAGACTAGCGAAGAAAAGAAACGGATACATCTTGGAAAAGCTCAATAGAGGTAGCTATTTTGCAACATACTAGATGGAAATACTTGAAGCCAAATAAAGCACGAAACTTTCATGTACTTTCATGAGAAGAGAATAGTGCAATTTCATGTCAAGTGAATCACGTAATTTCATATGAAGAGCCATGTAATTTCTTGCGAAGAAAACCATGTAATTTCGTGTGTAGAAATGTAGTGCATTTAATCATGCACGTATAACAATGATAGATATTATGACTAATGAGTAATATTTTCCCCAGAGCTTTTTATGTACTTGTCTACGTACATTGTGATCAACAGTATCCGGTTATGGTGTGGTCTTATTTTTTATAGAGGGGGCTTGCAACCCTAGTTGTTTTGTGTGGCACTATCACGGCACTGGCATACGTTGATGTTTTAAACGCCTTCTTGCTTCCACTGTTGAAGAGCAATTCGGGGATGACGATTGCATCTTTCAACACGATCCAGTCCCTGTTGAAACAGCACGGCCTGTGGCGGAGTGATTACATGACAATAACATCCCTGTAATGTTCTGTCCTGCACAGAGAACCGTGTTTGAATCCTATCGAACACCTTTGTGATGTTTTGGAACGCCGACTTCGTGCCCGGCCTCATCGACCTACATCGATGCCTCTTCTCAGTGCAGCACTCCGTGACGAATGGGCTGCCATTCCCCAAGAAACCTTCCAGCTCCTCATTGAAAGTATGTCTGCGAGAGTGGAAGCTGTCGTCAAGGCTAAGGCCCAAACATCACCTATTGAATTCCAGCATCGCCAAAGGAGGGTGCCACGAACTGCTAAGTCATTTTCAACCACTTGTCCGAACACTTTTGATCGAATAGTGTATTTCTTGAACTTCTCCGCTGTATTGAATACGGACTTGGATCGAGACATTGTCGCACTGATGAGCGAAAAGTACTACGCTCGCTTCAGCGCAAGGCTACGTGACGCTGTATAGAACGGATACTTCTCTGCGGTGTTTTATTTTTTATTTTATTTAATTGTTTGTTGAAGTACAATATTCATTTTACAATAAAAACTTTGCAATTGTTTGACTTAATCTAATTAACTTAATCTAGGTTAAAATTGTACTTAATTAATCTTAATTTAGGGAAAGGAAACAAAAGCACCTCAGGAGAATTATTCAACATTGGCAAATATCTGGAGGAAAGAATGGAGCGAGAATCTTAATTATATCATATTACTTAAACATTTATATTCAACCTGGCATAGTAATACAAACTGAATGAAAATAAGTTGAGGAAGTTGACTTTGCCATGTACAAGTGTTCATGTGTATAGTGTAGGAATTATTTCTGTATTCTTTTCTTTTTTGAGTGCTATGATTTTTTGTGTGTAATGGTATTTGTGTATATTTTTACAGATTGTGCTTTTCTTATTGTGATTGTGTGATTATTTTTGTGAGTGATTATGTCAAAGGTTTTGGTATCTTAATTCTGGTTTTGAATCTGGGATCATTTCCGAGTCTTTAGCGAGTTGATGCCTTTATGAAGGATAAGTTTGTGTAAAAGTTTTTTGATAGGAATGCTATTTGGTGTGTAATTTCATTTATGTTTAGATCGTTATGAAGTTGTTTATAACAAATGAACCATGGTGCTCTTGTTATTGATCTTAAATATTTGTTTTGAAACACTTGCAATTTGTTGAGATTGGTTTTGGCGGCATTGGTCCAGATCGGGCATGCGTGTAATAGTATTAGGCGAATTAGTGATTTGAATAGCGTTAGTGCATTTGACAGTGAGTGGTGGTTGTAGGAGTTTAGTATAGGTCTTAATTGGATGCTTCTGATTTTTGTCTGTTGTGCTTTTATCTCAATGTGTTGTTTCCAATTAAGTTTAGTATCTAAACTCAATCCAAGATATTTTACTCTTTTCGTGATTGGGGTCCAATTTATAGGATTATTATTTATAAGAAGCGGGGGTGGATATGCAAAAGGTTTTAGTGAGAAGACTTATGCTGCTGATTTTCAGGGATTTAATTTAATTTTCCAGTTATTTGCCCAATTTGTTATTAGTTAGATGCTGTTGGAGCTGGAATTGGTGAGTTTGTAATGAATTGCCGGAGATATATAATGCAGTGTCGTCGTCAAATTGGGCGGTATTGATTTGATGGGAAATGGGAATGTCTGCAGTGTATAGATTAAAGAGAGTTGGGGATCTCTGCGGTGTGAAAGCAACACAGAAGAAACTTCGGACACTCGACCTTAGCTGCGGACCACGTCAACCTAGGCTGGTGGTAGATTAAATCGTCAAATAGTTTTGTAAATTAAAACGTTTCACTACGAACTGCATTCCCCGTTTCCCTGGTTTTATAATTTGAATAAATCCAGCTAGAAGTTGCGTATTGAAAATTGTAGCTAACTGTATTTATGTTACGTTAGACGGTGCATTGAATTGAGATCATTGCTAATGAACATGTTACCCATTTAAGAGACTGTCGTAGCTGAAACCAGATAGTTAAGCACTCTGTAAACTTAGAGATGTATAATTATTTCATTTTGTAAAATAACGTATTTAAATTATCCATTTACTGACATTGCAAAGCAAAGCTTTTCTTAAGCGAAGGTAATTATATCATATTACTTAAACATTGATATTCAACCTAGTATTGTAATACAAACTGAATGAAAATAAGTTGAGGAAGTTGACTTTGCCATGCACAAGTGTTCATGTGTATAGTGAAGAAATTATTTCTGTATTCTTTTCTTTTTTGAGTGCTATGATTTTTTGTGTGTAAGGGTATTTGTGTATATTTTTACAGATTGTGCTTTTCTTATTGTGATTGTGTGATTATTTTTGTGAGAGATTATGTCAAAGGTTTTGGTATTTGGTACAATTCAACGAGAACATTTACAGCCATTAGCCTAGATTTACTGTAATAAGAATTAAGAATATATCCGTTACGATTTCATATGTTCCTGACTTTTCATTAATTTCGAATCGTAAGACAACCCCAAACCCAGCAGTACAGATTGGTCATAACTTCAACTGTATTAATTCTTGTGACATCTCTTATCAGTTTGGATGCCACAAATCAAGCAAAATTAATTACTTGCTTGAGACCTTCACCCACAAACCTTACAATAAAGGGGTAGGGATTGTGACAATTTGTCGCCCAATACGTGTTGGCTCGAAATTGAACAAGTATAAATTTCACTTGTTTCAATTTTAATAACTGAAGTAAAGAAAGTCTTGTATCTGAGAGAGAATATAAATAGGTGGATATAGGAAGGTGACAGTGCATGTTCCCTGAATTGCCAACATGAGATGAAAAATGCCACGGCAGCAGCGACAAGGCGCTTTTTGCCTTCAAAATGATGTTGAACATCAAAATAAATTTTGCAATTTTGGCACTTTTCGCAATTTTGGAAAACGCACAGAACTTGTACAATATGGAACCAGCACTAATTTATTTTCCATCCTTTGCTGGATCCCAAGAAAAATATAATGAAAGACGATGGAACTATTTTTAAGAAAATGAATTGCTATAAAATTGCTTTTCTTTCACGCAAAAGTAAGCGAAAATCAAGATTTTCGAAAATTGGAACAGGATCTTATTACAAAATCTGTTTTTATAGAACATACATATTTGACTAAGGAGAAAATTCCCCTTCGTCAATATTGTATTTGTAGGAAGACGCCGAAAAATCAATATTTTTTGTAATATTGCAATAACTTTTGCAATATTCGAATATTCAGAGATTTCAAGGATTAAGAGGGATGGACTATTTTAATTGCACTTTACACTATCCCAGAACAGTTGAATAAAAAAACTGAGCCAATTTAAAAATGTTGGAGCGTCATGTAAAGTACCCCTAAAAACCAAAATATCCGTTTACATTTGCAGGATTTCGATTTCTCTCACATCAATCTGGGAATATCAATTTAGGAGAATATCATTGAATGGTATAGGCGCTAGGGTTGCCCACAGGTGTGCGAACGGACAGAGAACGAAGTTTTGCTGTCAATCGGTATTTGTGTCATGGGCCTACAAAATTGGATTCTAACTAATTTGAACAAAGTGAAAACAGTTTTTAAAGAATATAAGAAACATATACACAAAATAAGTGATAAATTAGTGACTTGGATGATGATGATTAGGATAAATTAGTGAATGGATGAGATACATTTAATAGCAGTGATGGATGTTAAAGCTGTTAATATTGTGTGTACTAAATGTCATAATCAATTACTTGCATGTTGCTCCTACATTCATGATATCAACTATAATTTCAGATCTGAAAGAGATAATACACATAGTACATGTCAATGAAATGTGTGCACAGGACTTGCAAAATATATTGGGAAAAATATGTAGAGATTCGGACACGTAGGATATAATGTACTGTGCGTTGCTGGCGATAACAGCATTAATAGAAAGTGTATTTTTTTTTCAGTGAAGACGTTTGGAATGTCATCAGTGCTCGCAGTGAGATTTTAATGTTTAGAGAGGGGCCAGCAAGGTTGTCGTTCAAGAAAAGTTGCGCGATTAATATATCTAGGTGGTGTTGGGTCAGCAGTCGATGTATGGTAAAGTTGTATCGAGCTACCTCGAGATAAAGAGCGCTGTTAGTGTTGTGACTGGTTACGATCTGTCTGAGGGATAGAAAACTCTTTTAGAACTTTGATGACGTGTGCCTGTTTTAGGTCATCCTCTGGCGGCTACGAATCTTGCTTCTTTTCGTACACGATTGTGCGATTTTTGTCGACAATTGTTCTTTGTCACAATAAATTGTGGTGTACTACAGAAGTGTGGCTTGATTACCTGCTGGTACCTGGATTTGATTGATTAGTGTTTCCGAGGGCGTCAACTGCTAAGGTCATTAGTCCCGTAAGTGCAGAACATATTTTTATCGCTGGAGGTACCGGAGAACTTCTCCGGCTGGATGTCGAGATCCGGCACATGACTACACGTCGGCTAGCGAGGTTTTCCCTCAACCAGGTGTAATGGCTCATAAACCTGAGAATTAAAATTTACTTCTGATGAACATTTTTAACTAATTCACCCCACACTTGAGCGAGTTAAAATCTGTAAGCGAAGAACAATTTATTTTGACTGCCAAGTATACAATGTTTGATTTTCACGACGAAATCATGAAAATGCCAAGTTTATGATCCTATAGTACCAATTTATAATTTTGGTGTGAGTTCGCAAAGTCGCCTCCATACAGGAACCCGAAATATTATTTTGATTTGGGAACATGATCTTTTATTCTTTCTCCTGTCATTGGATTTTGTTACCTACTAAAATATACACACATTTTTAACAATGCTGTCAAAATGATCAGCAATTATTTATTCGTAAACAATATTCCCAAATGCTACTCGGCGAAATCTGCTCTCCGACATACATACACCAGCTTTCTATAGTACAAAACACGACACGACATATAAATTTACCCTTTGAATAAACCAACACAACATATCTTGAAAGAAAACAAAACCAAATAACATTCACTCATTCATACATCTTTAATCTACATTTCATTTCATTTCATTTACACGAGTGCATACTTTTTGAGAATTGAATTGATTCTAATGGCCATTTACTAAATAATAATTAATTACAAATTTTACTAATATTATTAATTATAATAACAAAAAAATTACAAATTACCCCGTAATGGCGCCGTCTCCGATCGCTGCGTCCTCTCGCCGCGGTTACCATTTTTACCTTTTTTAAAATTCCCAATTGAACCACTTCCGAATTAACATATTCCTACAAGGAGCATCACTACCTTCAATCTACTACCTTCAAAAATAAATTCCTACATGAAAATCCTAGATTCGACTTCCAGTATGATATTATCACTCAAGATCGCAAACCCGTCTGTCTATTTGCATTGTTGCCCTGTTCTTAACCGCGCAGCTCTTCTTTTCTCTCAAACTCGCTGTAGATTTTTACATTCCAATTTTTTAATGTCTTTAGATTTCCTTAATTTCCTCATTGCAATACATTCTAACGAAAATCCAAATAATAAACTTAATTTCCTTTTCCAAATTCCTTATATTGTTATCTTATAAACGTCTGTGTAATCGCCCATTGCTTATAAAACATTCAATGGCCTTTGCCAGACATACGAAAATTCATTTAATAAAAGTTTTTCGTTATTCTATAATCACCTGTAGTTCGAGTCACTGTGTATATGTTTCCTAAATGTTTTTTTTAAATTTATTTACTCTTGACAGGTGAGCTAACAGCAGTTTCTTTGGATTTTTAGAAATATATAACTCATTTTACTTCCACCCTTGCACCTTCCATTTGTTTGTCTCTTTATTAAATATGTCAATTTAAAGTTATTTTGGTTCATTTTTTAATAGTCATTGGGTCGTGACCGAATAGACCGTCGCACAGGTTCACCCACCAGAAGGGCACCACCCCAGCCGGGACAAGCTTTAAAGCTCCCAACTGGGATCTTGGCATCTGCGGTAGTGTAGTACATGTTGGTGTGATGTTAGTGTGTGCGTAAGTAAGGGGGTGAGAATAGGACAAGGAAGAGGAAGGAAACATCGTGGGCGGTACGTGGCCCGTTTGTTACGGTACTGCTTCGGCATTTGTTTGGCGTTGATCTGACAAACCATGGACAACTATCGATCAGAGCACCCAGCCACTAGTATTCTCCTCCAGACACAGGCTGAATTAGACCTAGTTGACAAGCTAGTATCGAAAATTCTGCCACCGCCGGGATTCGAACACCACAACCTCCCGGTCACAGGTCCTGCAGCGACATCAATTCATGCCACCTAAACCGGTCCGGTTCCTATTATATAACAGGTTGGATAATCATTCCTAATAACATCCATCGCAAATGGACGGCTCCAGGGGCGGGCGGTCGTATTTCACCTGGTCGTAGCACGGGGGCGACAGCTCGAGCCCATAGCTCACCTGGTCGTAGCGTGAGGCCGAAAGTTCGAGGCCATGACTCACCTGGTCGTCGTACAGGGCAGACAGTTGCTCACCTGATCGTAGCGCGGAGCAGAAAGTTCGAGACCATGGCTCACCTAGTCGTAGCGCGAGGCAGGCAGTTTGAGGCCACAGTTCACCAGGTCGGGGGCGACAGCTCGAGCCGTGGCTCACCTCATCGTAGCGCGAGGCCGAAAGTTCGAGGCCATGACTCACCTGGTCGTAGTACAGGACAGACAGTTCGAGGCCATGGCTCACCTGATCGTAGCGCGGAGCCGAAAGTTCGAGGCCATGACTCACCTTGTCGTAGCGCAGGGCAGACATTTGGAAGCCATGGCTCACCTGGTCGTAGCGCGGGGGCGGCAGCGCGGCGGCGCCCAACACAGACAGCTCCTTGAGCTGGCGGCGCGTGTCCGGGTCGCTGAACTCCTGCCAGGGGAAGGCGGTAGCCCGGCGCCATTGCTCCTTGGTGAAGGCAGCCAGCGCCGCAGACGCCTTCAGCTGCAGGAACATGCCAACGTCTTAGTGCCCGTAAGTGTAGCCGATGTTATATCTCTCTTAATGGCGTTGTTCCTCCTTCATTAGAATTTCACATTCGGCAGGTTTATTCGCAGGGCGTCTAGTTACATTTACCAACGTTTTATTTTTATTATATCAGCAGCTTTTAACGGCTTGGTATTCAACAGTTCTCTCACAATTTTCATATTTAAAACATTAAGAAATAAAATTATACAAATAGATAAAACGATACATTACTAAATATTACTGACGAATGATAATTTAAATTTAATGTTGGAATAATAAACACAAGTTAACAAAAATTAAAGAAAAAAAGGGATATTAAAATACATTTTTATACCACAGAAAATACCCTCCATCTGGTCCCCTCGCTCTTTTCCCCTCCGATGTCCCCTACGTCCTTTGCTCCTATCAGTTCCTTCTGTTCCGTTTTCAGCCCCGTCGTCTCGTCCTGTGACCTGCCTGTCATCCTCCGTCGTAGGAATATTTCCTATCGTCACCCATCTGTCCATCCCGTTCTCTCCGTTCCCCCCGTCCGTCCCCCGAATGTCCAACTCAAAATGTCCCACTTCGGCCGCCCCCCTCCGTCCGACACCGTCCGTCCGACACCGTCCGTCCGACACCGTCCGTCCGACACCGTCTGTCCGACACCGTCTGTCCGACACCGTCTGTCCGACACCGTCTGTCCGACACCGTCCGTCCGACACCGTCCGTCCGACACCGTCCGTCCGTCCGTCCTTTCAATTCCCATCATAAAGCTGTCCTTCCGTTAATGAACCTTCGGCCTAAGTAACGTCCCAGGGTCATTCTGTCCGAACCGCGTACCTTCTGCTGCTGGTTGTGCTCGGTGAGGTTGGAGTCGTAGGCCCAGGCGGCCAGCTCGTAGTCGTTGAGGCGGCGCGCCGCTTCTCGGTCGTACTGCTGCAAGAAGGCGCGCGCCTGCTGCTCCAGCTGCTGCAGGTCTGCCCTCTGCGCCGTGGGCGTGGGCGTGGGCGGGGTGTCGTCTGAGCTCTCCAGCGTCGTGTCTGTCACGCCCCCCGCCGCCGCCATGAGCAGCACTGTTGCAGCCCATGCAGCTCCCGAGAAGGGTTGCCAACGAGCGCACACTACGCAATTGCGATATTGATATCAAAAAATGGATGTTAATAAACGTCAGTGCAAAATTTAAACCATTGTGGAAACCCAAAACAATGTTTTATACATCAGTGGTTTAAAGGTTGTTTAATGACCTCTAACATTACATTCAGCAGCAACAAAATTTAATTTCAGTTTCCGCGTAATTTATAATTATCATTTAACAGAGAACAAAATTTAAAATGGCCGCTCCGGATGGCCGAGGTTGTTAAGGCAGTCGTTCCGTTGCGGTCTCGGACCGAAGGATCGCGGGTTCGTCCCACCTCACGTATGGTTGTATTTGTGTTCGTCCTTTCCCCCCTATCACCACCGTATCATATCATATTCACCGTTACCATACCGTTAAATGCAATAGTGGTCGCTAATGACCTAAATGTTGTTGCGACCTTGAATTGCAAAATTAAACATTAATAAGAACAATAGAACATAGTACAATCAATTAGTTTGTTTCCAGGAGTTATGTTTCATGTATGGACATTTACACTTCATTGTAAATGTTCAAATATGGGAATTTTGATACTATACTTTGGGAAATATGGGAACTTTGATACCATACTTTGTGAACATGGGAATTATGGCAATTTTTCATTTACTATCAATGATGAAAAACGTAAAATACCGAGCACAAAACATCGATGTTAAAAACATACTCTTCATGTTTTGAAAACATCGTCATCAACATTGCATCTCTAAAACGAACGAGGTGTTGCGAAATGATTCAGAATCAATGGCACAATCTCCCAGCGCATGTATGGGAGCTTTGATGGCACCTGGACGGGCATTGCTGTTAACCCAATCGCGTCAAACCGCTGGCGTCAAATAAAAACATTTTTATGGGGGAATCCGAACGTTTAAGATTAAAAAATATTGACTTTTGGATAGGTTGAATTATGAGATTTAGAGTAACTGCCGAGGAACTGCAAAATGAGTTGCCTCCCAATCAGAGGAGTGATACGGCTCTTGTGTAAGTTCGTTATGTGAGGATTTTCTACCATATTGTGATGAATTATTCCTGATTTTTTATATAGATGACCATAAAGCGTTATAAATACGTGAGTGAGCAACAATGGAGGTTAAAATTGACAAATTATAATACAACTAAATGGGGAGAGTAGGAAGTGATGAAGGTAGTAAATGGGGGAGAAATAGTGTTAATTTTATTTATATCCACTAAGGAGTATCTGCGAGTATCAATTTAATTAAGGATTATAAAAGAGCGGATATCAAAGGGTGAATACTGTTATATGTGAATAAGTATTAGCCACGCGGAAGGATAACAGCTTCTACACAACCGATGGGGGATGCGCAGAGCTGGCAAGAAGAAACGAAATTGAGACTCGATTGGCCATAGAAGACGACAAATCAAATACAGGGAGTATGACTTGTTAGACAGAAGGAGATAAGAGGTGATAGGAAAACGAGCTGAGATAGCGAGTAGAACGTTGTTGGGTGGGGCAGTAGACGAATACGTGTGGAATAAGATTTTGTTGAAGTTTAATAAGTTAATTGTAATTGGTGGTGCTAAAACTGCACATTATTTCTCACCCTTATTAATGGTTATGTAATATTATTACACTCAAGTGTAATCTTTGCCACAAACGTTTGTAAAAATCCTCACATTTTCGCAAAATTGAACATTACATTTTTTAAGATCTGTTTTTGATTAATACACTTCATTAAAAAAATGTTTATCTTCATAATTCTAGTAGTAGGAAGACTAGTTGTAGAATTTTTCAATTTTCCAAAATCAGCATATTCTACAAATATACTTGTAGCATTTTCTTAAGCGTTCTACACTCTATCCGAGGTCAAAATTTAATAAATAAATTGATGCCAATTTTTAGGATAAAATGTTTTAAATAAAATCAAAAATTGTCTACAATTCATTATGCAAAAAGTACTAAAATTTTTGACAGATTGTACATGATCTTATTTCAAATCTATCTTTAATGATCAGATATCAAGAGAAATCTCTGTCTTTAAAATTTTAGTTGTAATAAGATTCCGAAAAAAATTGAACGTTTGTAATTTTCGAAATATCAGGGATTTCAACGGACATGGGACCTACGTCCTTCACCCTATCCAACATCAAAATTTAATCAAAAACGTTGGAACTTTTTTTTTTAATTTTGAAAATGTCCCAGAAGCTTCATGTAAAATACCCTCTAAAATTTAAAATAACGGTTTCCAATTCGAGGAGCCACATCATCAGCCAGATAGATTGGGGAATATCGATTTTGGAGAAAATCGGCTGAACAGTTTAGCCGCTAGCTATGTTCACAGACCGACTGACGGGCAGACGGTCGGACAGACAGACAAACGTTTTGCCGTCATTCGATTTTACGGTATCAAGAACCTACAAAACATGGAATCTGGCTACACCACGTGTTAGAAAATTTTGTTTTCCAAATTTAGCAACTGGATTAATCTTGTTTTACGTAATACTGAGAGAGGCAGCAACGAGAGAGGTTTTCTGCCGAAAATTCGTTTTCCGGCACACGGTTACATAACTTTCTACTTACTTAACTTTAAGACGAGAAAATAAAAATTGGAAGAATAAATATGTATTATTCTAGGTTTCTTGTTTGCTCTTTACTCGTAATCTCAACATCACACTAGTGTTAGTTAAACATTAGTGTTATGCCACTAATATGTCATACTTCCTTGCATTATTTGTAACTATTTTCGAATTTCGAGCAATTTTCGAAAATTTACAGAGATTAACGAAAGTCGAATATGTTTATTTTTTATAAGAGTACTTAGCACTATCCGGGAAAAAATTGAGAAACGATTTACATATGGTTTTTGAAAATATCTTATTTTTAAAATTGACTTTATTTCATGCATAATTGAGGGAAAGCTACTTACATTTTGAAAAAAAATGTGTATAAATTGATTTAAATACGTAATTTTAGAAAGGGAAATTCATTAAGAAAAAATCCTTAAATTCAATTAGAAGCCGTAAGAATATGCCGAAAAAAAATTAATTTTTCAATTGTCAGAAATTCAGAGAATTTAAATAAAATTCGGACATGCGCCAAATTTATAAACGTACTTTCCTACATCTGATACACAATTTAATCAAAACATTTGTAGCCATTTTTGAGAAAAATTGAGTGTTTGGGGCTTTATGTAAATACTCCGAAAATTTAAATATTCGTTTCGAATTCAAGGGTCCGTGACATAATCCAGATCGTTTGAGGAATTCCAAGTTTGATGGAAATTTTACTTACGCTTTAGCCGCTAGCGTTGTTCAGACCTACGGACAGGCGTACGGACAGATAGAGGTTTTGCCGAAAATAGTTTTCGGTCTGAAGGACACACAAAACATGGATGCTGACTACACAACGAATTAGAGGAGTTTATTTACTGCACAAAAGAGCAAGAATTATCCCATTTTTTGGAATAGGGGATCTATGATATATGAGTTTTTCTCTCGAGAAATCTTGGTTTATCGCTGCAGCACTATAATACTTTCTCTTTAGTACGAAAGAAGTTTGCCAGAAAGTATTTTTTTTCTGCCTGTTCCTCCACAAATCCCTAACTACAATTTTCATACTTATTTCCAATGTATTGAACATAACGATGTACAATTCAAAGCAATTATAATAGTTCCATTCCGCGAATGCCTCTTGTATCAAGAAAGCTTCATTATTAAAATTCGTTTTACCAGCTGCCTTAATTTCTACTTTATGTTAAAATACGTCTCCAATTCGGTTTTACTACACAGCTACGTATTGTTTATAAAAGGACAACCCTTAATGCCGCATTATAATTTGTTGATAAACAAATTTCTTTCACTCATAGTGAAATTTTGTTTAATTAAATAAATAATTGTTATAATTAAATAAATAAAAAATTAATAAAAATGTATTGATACATTTTTTGCTATAAGTGAAAGGAAAGTTTTTATCAATGAATAATATATAATGTGAAATAAACGGTTGTCCTTTTATAAACAGTGTGTATCTGTTTAGTAAAACCCAATGTAGCAAGTATTATAATATAAAACAAAATCTCCACTTACCTTTCGCGTGCGCCATAGCGTAGGTTCAGGATGCAACTCGCGGCTGACCTGGGGCGAGCCGCTGTTTGTGTGAGCCGAGGACCGGTTTGTCTGCTTCGTCCGGTTGTTGCTCTCCGGATTTGGCGATCTGCCATCGCGTCTCGCAGCGTCCAGTTCATTTGTTCTTTGCGCTTTGTGCTGGAGAGGTTTGAGGTTCGGAATAAAAATGGTATGTCAGGATGATGGTAAAGACGTAGTTATAATTTTAAAAAAATGTTTGTATTCTCTAACCTTTCACTTACAGCACAAAAAGTTTTTATCTATACATTTTTATTTATTTAATTATAATAATTATTTATTTAAACAAAATTGTACATTTAGTGAAAGAAATTTGTTGGTCAACAAATTATAATATGAAAATCCATCTATTAGAAATGGCGTAATTAAATTCTGTAAATACTCGCGTTTCTACTCGTCACAGTAGAAGCTGACGAGTAGGAGCAGATGAATTTCAAAAATTCGCCAAGAATTGTATTACATTTCTAGCAAAATCGCACATTTCAGATACCGTACGTTACGATGGACGTCCGAACCTATGTTCTCAGCGCTTGATTGATTATTTTGTTTACGGGCGTTTCAACTACTATAGTTCTTAGTTCCGAAAGTGTAGTCCAAGTTTCTATCGCGGGAGGTGACGGTGATAGTTTACTCGCTAGAAGGCGAGATTCGGCACCGACGTACACGTCTGCTTGCGGGCTTTTCCTCAACCGGATATCGCCCGCAGCGGGCTCCGTTCAATCGGGACAAATGCATTGCGCGTATGCCTGTAAGTAACGGAGGGTAGGATAAGGAAAAGGAAGGAAAGATAGCGCGCGGTCCCTAGCCCGTTTCTTGCGGTACTGCTCCGGCATTTGCCTGGTGTTGATCGGAGAAACCAGGGAAAACTACAGATCAAAGCAGCTAGCCATCAGAATTCTCCTCCAGACACTGGCTGAACTCGACCTAGACACCTAATTAGTGTCGAGTAGCCTGCCACCGTCGGGAATCGACAATAATAAAAATGTGTTATTATTGCTGTATACAAAATGCATTATTATACATGTAATATTAATACGACAATGTTTGTAAGCAATTATGACAAGTCACTACTTTGCTATTTCATTATATTACCTTATACAGACAAGTCAAACCTGAAACAAAAAGACACAAATTTGTCTTTGGTTAGAATGTTCTCCGTTCTTATATATATTTAAAATTTTGTACCTTTACAGATTTTATTACAACCACAGTTGTGTTTTCTGATAATGTTTTTTAAATTTCAATTGTAATTCTATTTTGATGTGATATAGGTTGGAAAACATAGTAATTAGTGCATAGATGTCAAAAAAATAATCGTTTTAAATATGAATTGATTGTATTTACAGTAAGAGGATAGCATTGCACTTAATAATATTTAGTCAATAACAATAATAGTTAGACAATCGTTTTTTACCTCCCTTGTATTTGTATTATTATTATAAACTTTAAATTGTTTATTAATATTTTGTGATATCGTATGTGTTCATTTTAATTTCTAAAAAGATATCTCTAAAACTAGTCATTTATTCATCTTTCATCTCAATTATTCTTCATTAATTCAGCACAAGATTTAGGAAAAAGTATTTGCTTATTACATTTTTTGATAATGTTAATAACCTTTTAATTTTCTGGGACTGTATTATTGGGATGTTGACCTGTGTTGTAAGACCCCCTATGACTGAGTGTTTTTGAATACTTGTGATAATGTTTTGATTGCCTATTTATACATTTATGGATACGTTTTCGTAGTTTTTACTATTACTTTCAAGAATTCTCTTTTTAGAAATATACTTCATTTGTGCATTTATAGATCTGTTAAAACAAGACCTACAAGTTATTTAAAAATAAGTCTACACAATTCAAGTCTATCAACCTTTGCTGGATGAGCTAATTTTATTTTAATTTTCAATGTTCTGTGTTTGTGGTGCTTGACTCCAGAAAATTATTACACATTTTTGATATTTTTCACTCACGGTTGACCCAAAAAGGGGTTTTCACAATGATAACAAAGATTTATTAATAAGTTTGGCCAGAAAGCCTATGAGCAGATCTAAAATGTAGGTATCATTAGTCAAATTAAACCAATATTGCTAACATTGTGTAACATGTGATAATTTTAAAAATATATATTTATTGTCAGGATACACGGTAAATGCAGTATATTATTATTCTTTCATTTTAATTTCTTCCTTTTCATATTCACCTTCATATTCTGTTAAAATTCTATTATATATATTCTATTAAAATAGTTTAAGCAGATATTGTATAAAATACTTTTTTTCAAGTGTTAAAAGTAATTACCCACAAGTGTGTAGTTGATGAAATGCTGCAGCTGAAGAGCATACTGTTTCAAACCTTACTCCCTATCATAGCATGATCAATCCAACTGACTATGTGTGGTCTCAGACAAAGGGATACTTCAATAAGAATTTCCTTGCAAGATCTTGCCAGGGCATGGAAAAGGCCAGACATATTTGAAGCAGGCTTTAGAGCAGGTATCTTAGTTGTCTACATTCATTGACACATTTACCACAAGGAAAATGAGGTTCATTGTCTTAAATTCAATAAAGTGTTATGACTATACTACTTACATTTTTAAGGTGTCTACTACAAACTGAAAAATTGCTGTGGAAATATGCTGAAAAAATATGGTTGAATATAGAGAGAAGTGTGGGGTACATTGTGAAAACAATAAATTTATTATACATCTGAACAGGGATAGTGTAGATGAAGATTTCATGGGAAAATACCCATATATAATTATTGTCAAATAAATTTCCTTGGTAAACAAATGTATAAATAGTGTTTTAATTCCCCATCCTTAGTTTTCACTGTTGAATATTAAGATGAAATGTTATGGTAGGATTATGGAAATTATAAAATGCAGGCAAATAAAATTTAAGAAATAATTTGATATCCATTTTTTAAATATTTCCTTTCATTCATTTACAATATTTTTAAGAATGTAATTTGTTAATATATTCCTCGAAAGTTTTCTAATTATACTTTCATTTTACATTGAAGTAAAATATGAAACTTCTCATATTTCAGCATTATGGGTTTCAGAAGAAAATTACCGAAGTAATTGGGCTAAATGATAATTATTTCAATGTTTCAAAACATTCAATACATTAAAATTAATGTTATGACAAAAATTCTTGATGACAGGCGTCTTGAATAGCGTATATTTGAATGTAGCGCCAAAGCCTAGCTTCATGTACATTTTAGAAGTTGGCAGGACCGAATGGTTTGTCATATAGGAAAGTCTAGAGACCACGCTGAAAAGGCCTATAACTGAAGGCAATTCAAACTTTCCGGAGACAGTAGTCATAAAAGACGGATGATGTCTCATTGGTTACTAGCTTCATGGCTCTGTTGAAGCTGTTCGCGTGAATGCAGAATCTGTCGAGTTCCTGCTGCGAAGAATGGCCAACTCCTCCCGTGTAGCCACACAAACTGTTGACACACAGAAACACTTAATAAAGTTTTTTTTGTTATTATTAATTTGATTTCTTCTTCTTCTTCTTTAATAATAATAATAATAATAATAATAATAATAATAATAATAATAATAATAATAATAATAATAGGCCGAGCGAAGTGGCTCAGTGCGTAGCGCGCTGACTTCGTAATCGGGAGGTCCGGGTTCGATCCATCCTGACCGGGGTTCTCGTGGTCAATAATAATCACACTTTGGGGCGTCGCATCCCTGTTGTAATCCGGGGGGGTCCTTGTTGTAATAATAATAATAATAACAATAATAATAATAACGGGCATGAATGTATTTGTGTGTATGTTGACTGTGTCGTCCTTTCACCCCTCATTATCATCATCATCATTTCATCTTCCACCCTCAGGGCTAACAACCCTGGGGAATAAAAATCGGACTCGGCTAAATGCCGGTCCCCAATTAAAGTTACATGCACCTGCCACCGTGATAATGTTACTGAGCCACGGTAAAGGCAGGATGTAGCACGGAAAGGCATGCGTGGTCCTAGTTGGCCTAATCGCGAAAGAAAGAGAATATTATTATTATTATTATTATTATTATTAAATCCTACAAAATCCTGTTTGTGCAAACAATGTCTGTAAGATCAAAATATACATTTCGACTTGTAGAAAAACTAGTTGTGTTTCAATAGCTCGTCCTTACTCGTAATATTTGAAACGGTAATGCAGTATCATATACACAGTATACAAGTGAAAATAAAAACGTCTTACGTTATATACATCAGTATGTCACATCTTGGTAAAAGTTTGATTACTGAAATTATGAAGTCCAGGAGTTTTGTGTATTAAATAATCGAATATTTTATTTCATTTAAGTAAGCCACAGGTTAATGAATCTGTGTGGGGAAAAATTCATCTGGGCTCCTGATGTTTTCTGTTTCTTATTAATAATATTACCTATTAAAGTGGCGTAAAAGAGTATCAGTATTATCTCCTATTATAACAAAAGACATTGACAAGATAAATTAACAGACCTAACATGAACTTGATACATCTCGCAACGCGCATATGGGATGCATTGAGTTTTAATTCTAAATCCAGAACTGTTAGCCTCACCACGTGTGGAGGGGACCCATCCGACATTTTCGCCGTTGCGCTGGTTCTCCTCCTCCAGCCATTGCTTAAGGGGCCGGAAGTAGTCGAGAAGACCGGAAGCGTCCATGTGGCGGCTGCCCGTTACAGCCTCCAGCGCTTCTGGCCACGGCCGGCTGCTCCCCAGGCGAAGCATTGCCCTACGACCACAGCAGACATTTAGACACACCGGCTGCACTCCAGGCGAAGCATTGCCCTACGACCACAGCACACATTCACACACACCGGCTGCTCCCCAGGCGAAGCATTGCGCTACGACCATAGCACACATGCACACACACCGTCTGCTCTCCAGGCGAAGAATTGCCCTACGATCACAGCACACACATTCACAGACACACCAGCTGCTCCCCAGGCGAAGCATTGCTCTACGACCACAGCACACATTCAGACACTCCGGCTGCTCCCTAGGCGAAGCATTGCCCTACGACCACAGCACACATTCAGACACACCGGCTGCTCCCCAGGCGAAGCATTGCCCTACGACCACAGCACACATTCAGTCACACCGGCTGCTCCCCAGGCGAAGCATTGCCCTACGACCACAGCACACATTCACACACACCGGCTGCTCCCCAGGCAAAGCATTGCGCTACGACCATAGCACACATTCACAGACACACCGGCTGCTCCCCAGGCAAAGCATAAATATTAATTTTGGCCACAAATTCTCTGGTCAGGCTACAATAGTTAGTAGCATAGTGAACATCGTGCCCCTTCACCGCGCAAAAGTAGTCACCCTACATCCACTTATCAGTCATTGAAAGGAAAATGATCTGCCGGGAGTGCCGCAAGGGCCGACCTGTCGCCGGCAAATGATGTGACTGTCCGCAGCCCGATATCAGAGCGGCAGCGCGCCTTGCGCCAATGGTGCGATGCCACACGTGGGTGTCGCATTCGAGAAACGTTTATAATCAGTTTCCTGGAATGGAGAATTTTTCTGAACCTTCTATCTTTATTAATGGTTTTAAGTTTTCAAACTTATTTACAATTATACGATAGGAATCTAAATATTTTCAATATATTTGAATTTAAGGTGAAATGTTCTTAAACAATTTTAATAATTGCGCCCATTACTCAACCGTTGCTTTTACAACACTCTTAAATTTAACTCACCCACCGCCACTGATGGCAACAGCAAGCTAACCGCTTCAACAAGCAGCGAGCCACGGAATCGAGTCTGCGACGTCCAGCGTGTTCAACGGGCGGTTCAGCATCGTAGAAGACAGAAGCGATTGAGGCAGAGCTACAGCTTTTGGAGTGTGTGTGTTGTGACAGTTACGCGACCGAGCCTAAGTATTGTGATTGTTCCTAAAAACATTATGAATTTGATAGGTATATCTTCTGGCGGCACTAAACTCGGCGACGACTCAGCTATTTTCTTCTTAGCAACTGGACATTCAGCATCTCTTGGTATATTCTAGTAAAGAGATTGCCTTGAAAACTGTACCATTGCATAAATTGTTAAATGGGAGAAATCTCAGCCTCCACCTTTTTTCGTACATTTCAACAGACACACCAAATGCTTTCCAGATACTTTGCCACATTCCAGTAAACACATGGCCAGCTGGCCATTGTAGTAAATACATCTCCAGACGTAAAATTGTTCTACACAACAACTACAGAACAAACATTCAGACACCTCCACGAATTGCCCAGGCGTAGCATTGCCCTACTACAACAGCAATAGGGATGTTAAGATGATTCCAATTCTAGTCCTTTCTTTGATGTTGGTCGCAGAGAAAAATCTAATACAATAAAATGTTCTATTCTATAAGGAATTTTATATCTGTCTACCCAACTGATAGTACTCCGTTACGCCGTAACTTTCCATTTCCTTTCGTATCAGATACTCTCCCTGATTTACGTACTTAAGCTTTTCTCCTGCGGCTGCACTCCCGTGTATATCGCAGTTGTGCAGTGGTTTGTTAGCATCATTGGGGTCGAACTCTCCTGCCTCTAGACAGAGAGCGCGGTGAATCTGGAATTGCAGAACGGAGCTAACGAAATATCTGGAAAAATAGAAAGTTAATTTGTGAGAAAACCTAACAGAAATGAAACTATCGTGAGTAAAATTGAATAAATTCAATGGAGTAAAATAATTTGGAATTATCATAAACTATTTCAATATACTTGAAATAATCATAGCGTAACCGTTCGTTTTGAGAGTACTAATTCATTTAGTCTGAGAAAATTTAGTACTCAAACTACAACTATAATTCTGAAATGTAAGAGGAAGTTTGCAAAACCATTACTTCAGCAGTACAGTGTAACATTATGAATTAACAGATGTGATTTATGAATTTATTTCAGGGTGACATATGATTAATTACCGAGGAATATTTCAGCTATATGTTTTGCTTTTTCAAAGGCTGAAGGCAAAAATACATAGACAAAACATAACATTAAAATACCAATATTTTAATATAATTTTATCAACAGGTGTTTCGGCCAAACTATATAATTGTGTCCCTTTTCAGAGAGATCTACAAACATTTTAAAATTCGATTTAAAAGGAGAGTTCCACAGAAGAGAGGGGATGGTGCTATGAGTGCTTGGGGGCTCCCCCTCTGCCCCCCGAAGCAAATGACACACATTCAAAAATTCAATTTTATTAATTTTCTATACTAGTTAAGTTAATTCAGCACATCAATTGTTTACGTTATATATTAATAATAAGTTAACAAAAATAATTTTACTTTTAGCATAAATGAAGCATCCACCACTCTTTATAAGAAAACATCAAGTCGGCTGGGCACTGTACCAATATTACGAACCTTATATACGGCACACTGGAGATGATATGATATTTTGCACCTGGATCAAAGTCTTCTTCCGTTCTGTCCACCGGGGGCTCTAATCCTTGATATTCTTCCCTGAAAAAAGTTTAAAAGTGACAAAAAATTACACCCAGTAAAATATTGAATGTCGTGAATACTGAAATACATATTAGATGATCGCACTAAAAACCGTGGAAATGTATAAGAAACATTCAAAAAGAAACGAGCTTGAGGCCTAGGGAGAAAAAACAGTACTTGTAGGTCAGAAGTACTTGGCCCTGACTGTTGATGCAGTGAATGACTGTCTCGTAAAATTGGTCTGAACTGTATGAAGGGTGACCGAAAACCTCCCACTTGAATTTCACCCAGAGTACCGAGATTGTGGTGACCCTGTAAGTCCTTGTATGGTCGTGGAGCAGAATGACTCAACGGGTGAGCTTGCATGGACGTCGTCTCGTGCAGAAATTGAAGGGGAAGGTTCTCGGTCGCTCTCCATACAGTCCAAACACTCTCTCTCTCTCTCTCTCTCTCTCTCTCTCTCTCTCTCTCTCTCTCTCTCTCTCTCTCTATCTCTCTCTCTATCTCTCTCTATCTCTCTATCTCTCTCTATCTCTTTCTATCTCTCTCTATCTCTCTCTATCTCTCTCTATCTCTATATCTCTCTATCTCTATATCTCTCTATCTCTATATCTCTCTATCTCTATATCTCTCTCTCTATCTCTATATCTCTATATCTCTCTATCTCTCTTTATCTCTCTCTATATCTCTCTATCTATCTCTCTATCTCTATCTATCTCTCTATCTCTATCTCTCTCTATCTCTATCTATCTCGCTATCTCTATCTCTCTCTATCTCTCTCTATCTCTCTCTATCTCTCTATCTCTCTCTCTATCTCTCTATCTCTCTATCTCTCTCTATCTCTCTATCTCTCTCTATCTCTCTATCTCTCTATCTTTCGCTATCTCTCTATCTCTCTCTATCTCTCTATCTCTGTCTATCTCGTCTCCTAAAAAACGCTCTTAGGGGCAAGTGATTCACGACGCGCGTCGACGGCAAGCCGTACACGTGGAACTCCTTCAAAACGGCAAATGATCTTGGCTGTCCGGGTGACGCCGCGTCCAAGGCAGTGTTGCCGAACTTCTTGACGGATTGATAAATTTCCTCCCCGCAGAGGCGAGTTAAATGAAGTCGTAGGCTACCGCGGCTGGAGTCATGTAAATGATCTTGGCTGTCCGGGTGACACCGCGTCGAAGGCAGTGTTGCCGAAGTTCTTGATGGATTGATAAATTTCCTCCCCGCAGAGGCGAGTTAAATGAAGTCGTAGGCTTCCGCGGCCGGAGTCAGGGAAATGATGGAGAGGAAATTTATCAATCTTCGGCAAGAACTTCAGCAACACAGCCTTCGACGCAGCGTCACCCGGACAGCCAAGATCATTTACATGACTCCGTCAGCGGAAGCCTACGACTTCATTTCCTTCAAAACGGAGACCCGAGAATTTTACGAGACACCCGTTCACTGCCTTGTGCGCAGTGAGATAAGTACCTCAACAGTCAGAGACAGGTACATCTGGCCTACACGTAGTGATTTTTGTTCCAAGACCACCACTTCGTTTCTTTATAAATGCGCCTTAGAATTTACAAACTCAAAACTAAGAATTTATTGAAAAATAGGATTAAATTGATACACATTTAATTTTTTAAGTGATATTCTGTTTGAGTTTTCTATACCTCTTCTTTAGACTCCCTCTTTTAATTAACACATTTATCAAATAATATTCCCTTAACTATTATCAGAAGAATTACCCCCCGTAGTAATTCACTCTCGCTCCAACTGTGAAATTCCCGTCTTGAGAGAACATCTGTTGGATTTTCAAGATAACCTAAGAGAGTTATGAATGCTGAGAGATATGTAACTGTTTCAACTTATTAGAATGTCAAACTCAGCAAGTTTGCTTCTAATGTTTCACACGATGGTGTTGAATGTTAAATTGTGGATATAAGGCTTAACTAAGGGTTAAATCCATATGCTCAGTAAGTGTTGAAGTAAAATTTCTCTGCTTTTCAGTGCATTACTCTTCTCGTTATTAATGAAAGTAATTATATCAGCTTTGTAATCGTGAGAAGTTTGAAACATTCATGTATATTTTACCAAATTTCGCCGATTTATTACAATATGTCGATTTTATTTAACCATTCCACTTAGTAGTCGTGCTCTGAAAAGAAGGAAAATTTAAATTACCATTGAGCGTATAGTTTTAACCCTCAGTTCATCTGCGTCTCCAAAATTTAACATTTAACATCTCTGTGTAAAGACAGACACGTTGTGTATCGCAACATGCTAAAAGTTGAAACAGTCCGATATCTACAACATTTTATAACTTTCTTAGTTTATCTAAAAAACCAATCAGTTGTACCCTCAAGAGGAGTATTTCATTACAGAACTAAGAGAAAAATGCAAATATTCACGGCGCGTACAGAAATATATATGACTATTAAGACATGAATGTATACATTTTGTCGTAGTTGTGTGCAACTCGTGAAAAAGAACAGTTGGAAGAATCGACATGGATCGTCGGTTACCATGGAAGTCGGGATTGTTGAGAGGAGAACTGGCGTGAGTTCTCTGGAGAATGGACGCCAGAGCGTAGGCCTCTTGAATATCCATGTGATATCAACTAGATAAACCCAAATAGTAGCGACTTCGGGTAAGATTAGATCAAACCCTAACAGTAGCGAAAGGTCGGGGAAGAAGATGCCCAGCGGAGAATGTAAATTTGCCAATTGATCCCTGATGTATGAATTCATGAAAAATATACTTGTTTTGCGGGTAGAACTTGTGTCATTATCGTGTGGTACAAAAGTGTCATTATTTAAACCAGGCCAACTGACAGCCACGTTTGAAGACTGATATTACAGCTGTAGCTGATTTATTGGCGTTACAACTGTCGCAGGCACTTCCTGTACATACACAAAGGTGACCAGATGTACACGTAACCATAGTACTCTTGTACACAACAAGAGTAACAAGTAACAAGAGTGTTTCACTGATTATTGAAATCAAGAAAAAAGAAATTCAATGGTAGTTCTAGAAACGGATAATGAGCAATCGTATCATTTGAGCTTGTATACGCGTTATCGCTATCGATATTGCTATCGAGAAATTCAATAATTCGAACCCTCTATTTCTGTGAGTTTTTGTGCGACTCAGCGAACAACATTAATTGAGAAAATGAGCCAACTTGATAATGAAAAAAATTGCAAAGGAAACAAATTGAATTCCAAGTTTACGTTGCATATAACGTACCACTTTCACAAAAAGCGATTTCTACAAATAAATATTTAAAATAAATTTTAAATTATTTTCATTTTGTTCTTGTTATTCATTTCCATTCATGTTTCAAAATGTATTTTACTACAGTGCGTAATGTTGCTTTTTGTCATATGCATGTGTCACGTATTGTCACATTTTATAGTCAAGAAAAGTCACAATGTTTTTTTTTTAATCAGGTCACCCTTGCATACGCTGTTGCGGGCAGGTTCATAATATTCATATTCTGAGATTTATTTACAGTGGCATTTGACAGATCACTGAGCAGTCCTCCATGAGGAGAGGCCGTTACCCACACAGAAATTTGCAGGCTTTATTATTATTATTATTATTATTATTATTATTATTATTATTATTATTATTATTATTATTATTATCATTATTATTATTATCATTATCATTATCATTATCCTTATCATTATTATCATTATAATTGTATTGATAGATCATAAGCTGTTACAGTGTCATCCAATCGAGAGCTTAAAAATCACTACAGTGACGTCACTATGGTGACGTTCATGCTCCCGATTGGATGACACCGTACCAGCTGACGAGCTGCCGAAGGACACCGTAGATAAAACGAAGTGCAACAGCGACGCGTCTCACCGCAGCCGCCACCAGCGACAGTTGTATTCAGTGGGGGCGATGCGTCCGCTGAACACGTCCCAGCGCCACAGGTCCACGAGGTAGCCGAAGGGCAGGAAAGCCACCTTCTGCAGAGCAGTGTGGTAGAGGTGGTTGAGCGCTGTCTGGCTGCTCTGCGAGGCGACGCCGGCGCCCAAAAGCCCCACCTTGCGGAGGTGCTTCGGGGTGGACACGGACAGCGCCATCACGTCCCCTACGGCCTCGTGGAAGCCTTTGGCCAGGAAAGACCCAAACGTCGTGATGAGAACGTTGTACAAGTATCAGGAATATTGCAATATGGGGTGTAATTGTTAAACTGACGAAGTATTGCAAAAGGGAGCTAATTGTTAAATTGACTGAAATGTTCTTTGGGGTGAAAGATGCAAATGACGTGTACGAAATGTTGTAGAAATATAAAAAAAACTGGTAATAAGATAACTGATTGTTAAATTGACTTTAGATTTATTTAGAATTTAGATTTATTTCCTCAAAAAACTGTATGTGACGTATGGGGGAGAAGATCATCTGCGCACGTTTGTTTGAGTCCCCTTCACATCATTTTAACTATTAATAGTTGAAAGATGAGCGAACGTTTAAAATAAATAAATAAAAATAAGTTTTAAAAAGCGCAAGATTAGCAATATTTGAAAAAAACTAGACATTTTCGTTCCCGAGTTAGTCCCGACTTCTTGAATTGATGTTGAATTGAAGGGCTGAAATGCTCTTTGGGGGATGAGTTATAAACGACCTTTACAATACATTGTGTAAGTATCAGAAATAATAAACATTTCTCATATAATAGCAACATAGTTGACAATTCATGTACCTGCTTATTCAATATCTAATAATTAATATATCATAAGGTTCGTTATAAAAAAATAGGTATCGTAAAATTTGTTTAGATTTGCATAAGATCTCATATATCACAGTTTTTTTCTACATGCATAATGTCAATAATTGTATTGAGTAATATCTTGTATAATAAGAGAACGAATTGTCAACTTGACGACGAACTGGCATGTTTTGTATCATTCCTGTATGTTTAAATTTTAATATGTGGTGTTATGATAATGTAAATTTTAATATTTTATATAAATATTTTAGCTCGTATAAAATAAGGGTTTAATTATCAAACTGCAATAAACTGCTAAACGTTGCTTATCATCTGTATTATTGGACCAAAAAAATAATTAAATAGTGTAAGAATCATAAAGAAACATACAGTGGTCTACCGAAGTAATGTGATAAACATGAATTAGTGGATTTTAGTGCGTGAAACGTTGCGAATATCGCTTTGTGCTCGATTCACTGGAAGGCTTACGATTCTACCAAGGTTGTTAAGTTCCTGCCAGTATCATAAAGATTCTAATAATACCATAAAACGTCGCGTACGACCCTTATTCAGATCGTTTGAAAAAATGGAGGTAAACCTCAAAGAGACGTATCTTTGTTAATAACCATCAACAGCAATCAATTAATCTTTTTAAATTTTTTATTTAGAAAAGTACTCTACTTACAATCTTACAGTTCTCAAAGTGTAGATATTTGTAGCATAAATTGGGTTAATAATATTGTGAAGAAGCGGGTCTAAAAGGTCTTAAGTGCCAAACACTTTTGGGGAGAAATGAGAAAAAAATCTACCCATTTAACAATTCTTGACTTGGAAAAACTTCATTGCTTACGTTTATTACAACTAAAAACAAGTGGCAAGGGGCATGATTCTTATTTATTTTAATCAATATTGGTATAATTATCAATTTGCAAATGAAATTTTCAGTCGATAGTGATTGCTTAAATTGCTTTCACCCGCCACTACATTTTAGCATTATATGTTAATATTATTTTTTCCAAGTACACATTAAAATCTTGCGATATGCATATATATATATATATATATATATATATATATATATATATATATGTATATATATATATGTATGTATATATATATATATATATATATGTTTATATATATGTATATATAGTGTCGTTTAAAACGTACTAATTTGTTAAAAAACAATTTTAAAAAATCGAGGAATACCTTATGGTAGAATTAGTAGCAACATGATGTGAAAATCGCTTCACTTTCTCAAAAATACCTGGGTTGGCGCCGCGCCTGAATATGAGTGGCTGTTCCTTGTATTGCAGGAAATACTGTACGTGCCCCATTTCGTGGTGAACAACATACAGATCCTTCATGTCGACACGGGTGCACTGCTTGATTCTGAAAATTTCAATCAAAATTTCATGTTTATTAATAACTAAAATACACAATAGTATAGACTTACCTACACCAAATTGAAACTACCATTTGTGATGACCGTAAACTACGACGCCTCGAAATATATTTCAATCCGACAAGGTAGATTAGAATTTTTTGGCCACAATGTTTGACTTCGCTTATACACGATGATTCTGTCCTTGTTGCTCATATAGATCCCGGAGTGCACTAAGTTATTCATGACTGCAAAAGGAAAAGTGTAAATCCTATACAATATTTTGAAATAAAATAGTATTTTGTCATTGGTCATTTTTGGCAAGAAAAGTAGCCCAAATATTACATTAAATAGTGTTGTCTGTTGCTATTATTGCCTACTTATCTAACGAATATGAAAGGAGGAAGAAAAATTTGCACATTCACATCATGTAACAGGGTCTCTATAAGAGTTGAAAATGGCATTCTTCTGCGTGAACGCAAGAGTCGCACGGCCTCCGTGGCGCGCCCACAACTTTGCCAGGTTGTACTTCTTTTATTTCTGCCTCCACGCCGTCAATGCGCCAAAGAAGGTCGTCACAATCCTCGACGTCGGTAGTATAAACGTAGTATCTTTCATTTACCTCCAGCTCCAAAAATTTGGGAGTACCCGAGTTATAAAATTCAGATACTGAACGCCCCTTAAACGCTCGAGTAAGAAGTGAGGTCTGAAGATAAATGCATCCACAATACCGACACACTTACATAGAATCGCTCTTGGTGAGCTCACTACATGCAACACGCGGATTTCCTCGGTCCTCACCTACCAATTTTCCACATTGATTGTGTCGGTCCTTGTAAAACATACTGCACCTGATATAAGAATGCAATTCCGGTTTTCTTTGCATTTGCGCAGGAAATGTCCAGAGAAGTGAAAACCACGTTACAAGTATCTCCTGCACAAATGCTACACTCGCTGGAAATGGATAAGTCGTAATCTGTCTGCGTGAATTGATCGTCACACGTGCGACTCTGATGCTATAATCGCGCGCGCTTTTTGCCTTCAGCTCGCTTCTGGGGTTTCTCGGATAGCATTATCAACTGAGTTTTCTAGAGAAGTGGCGAGCGGTAACCCAAGGTGAAGCCGCTCGCCCATTTGCTGTAGTCCATGTTACACGACCACAAGCGCATTCTCCAAAGATTAAAGTTAATTATTTACCAAACTAAACGACAAAGAGTATCGAATTTTGGCAAATTCAGTCTGTACATTACATATCGAATAAAGTCCCGGCATATTAGCAAACGAGGACTGAAACACCTGTAAGTTTGTTGCAAACTTCCGTAAATATATTTCGTAATAAGCAGTTCCCCGCCGCCCATTACGTCTTACTACGCTTGATATGTTTAAAGCGTTAGAACATTAGAAGCTAATAACTTGTCACCAGTTAAGTGGTCAGAAAACTTTTGCTGCAATCTGTACTGCCGGTCGCAGACCTTGACAGTCTTCACTATAGCGATAAGCATGTACCATCCACAAGGTAGTAGGCGGGTACGTGTAGATGCTACCTGACGGTCCTCTTGACAACTGACTGCGACGAGACGTAATGACAGATATTATAAATGGAGGATTACTCCCAAGCGCAAAGTCATCAACGCCCCCCCCCGACCTACCCACCAGGGCTTGGAGATGTGTTGCGTCAATTCAGTCGCAGCAAATTTTTATTTATTTATTTTTATTTAATAGGATTTTAAGAAAATGTCGGATAAGCAGTGCCCGACTTAGGGTGTTCGCTCCTTAGAGAAGCGCAGATAACACTCGTGATAAGCAGTGGCGGTTCCACAGGCAAGTTAAGGGAAGGCACACAATTCTTGAAGGGAGATATGCAAGCCAGATGAAGAAAAAAGAGAATATAGTGTATTAATATAGGGTTTTAATAGGTCATGGTGGAAAAAACATTCTTCCTTCACGTAATAGGTTTTGTAACACTACTGCACCCTGTACGCTAATCAAAGGAAACGTATTTAGAAACGGAGTTCAAAGCCGCGTCAGTAAGTAGCTCTGGACGTCCTGCAAGAATACCTTTCCTAAGTAGCCAAGTCACCTAGTTCGGGCTGCACCCGCAGACAGCCGCCATTTGCAAGTCCTATGTTGCAAATTTCAAAACTTCAAGGCATTAAGCTTATGACAACACCAAATTTGGCTACACTGTAATAGGACACAGATCTCGACCATCTCTAACCAATGAAAAAATACACATGACATGAAATGCCGAGCATTTTGAATTCTGAAATCGGAGATCACGTGGTGAACAACTACTTTAACATCAAATACTACAAAAAAGGAAAAAAAATGTATGTGAATTATTTGGAAGGGCAGGACCCCTTGAACCTCCCTGCCGCAGCCGCCACTGGTGATAAGAATCGAGGTTGCGATTTCTGAACATTATTTCAAGTATACCGCACATTATGGACGCTAACTCAGATGCTCAAAGGATAATATTAAATTTTCCCGTTGATCTTGTACAGTATTAACAAGTCGGGAGTTGAAGATTTTGGCGTAATGGTGCCGGTTTGGGAAGCTTTCTGTTCATAAAAGTACGTCAAGTTTTCGTTCTCATCGTTGAATGTGAAAAGAAAGTAGAGAGGTTGGACAAAGTTTGGAAGGAAAATCTACACTTGTCAATGCACATTGCTGCCTGCTGCAAACTAATTCAGAATGTGACAGTAACATGGCACAAATAATGCCTGTGGAAACGCCTCTTTCACTTTAGCTTGAAGACCACCCAAATAGTCAGACATTAGAGCCGCACAGATTTTTCAAAAATATCATTGGAGCGATTTTTAAAATGCAATATTTTGAGCTCATTTACACACGAAAACCTTTGAATTTTCGATGCACATCCAAGGAGGTTATTTGAAGTAATTGTGATGTCGTCGATACTGATTATGTGTATGTTAAGATGTACCTGTAGAAAACCGATACATGAGTTGCCAAACAATCAGCGGCCAAAGTCGTATGTGTAACTTAGCTATATGATTTTTTTTCATATTCACTGGTCGAAAGCAAAACGTGTTCATCTTCGAGCTCTCTATAATCTGTAGACTCTGACATGAATGAGCAGGTTGTCGTGAACACATACGTTCATTAAAACGATGATTCTATGAAAAACCATGCATTTACAGAAATTATTACCACTTACAGACAAGAAGAAAATACACTGTTCTTAGGAAAGTAAATTATAATATGTAACCAGAGAATAGGTATCTATTAAAAGTGCTTTTGAAACATCTTTGAGTTTTTGCCTGATTTTTGAGAAAAGGGCTTCGTAGGGTAAATTCTATTTTAAATAGGCCTCAAATGCCGTTTGCAGGAAAATAGGACCATTGGTTCAGACTTAATCGGTAAAGTAAATTCCCCCATGGCAGTGCAGCTCTCTATTGAATTTTACTACAAGTGTTTTTTTTTGGTGCATTTGGCCTTAAAGCGGCTCTGGGCTTTTCAGTACCGGCAGCGTGTAAGCGACTCTGAGAGTTCGATGCGCTGTCACCACATATTACTTCTACCTACAAGACACATAAATGTCAAAAGAACACTTACCAATAGGTGATCTGGGCTGTCCGGGTGACGCCGCGTCGAAGGCTGTGTTGCTGACGTTTCAACCATCCTGGTATGCTGAGGAAGACCACGACAGGATGGTCGAAAAGTCGGCAACACAGCCTTCGACGCGGCGTCACCCGGACAGCCCAGATCACCCACATTACTCTGGACGCGGACGCCAACGACTTCAACACTTGTCACCCATAGGCGACGACACCTCTTGATATCACGTTCATAACCGTCGCCACAGACGAACATTATCACCTCCACGACTCCGTGCGATTGAGATGAGCGGCAACGCTGGACCCTGGCTGTGAGAAAGTAAACAAATCCTCGCAAGCTGATTGCTTCAGAGCAGGTCACATGACGTACCACAGCACGTGGCGAGACAACTGTCACAGTCGCTTATACTCTGCCGGTACTGTAGGCTACTCTTTGGAACATCTCTCAGATTTCCGAAAAGTCAGCAACGTTAAGTGGTATTGCGGCTGCTACAAATAAAATTGTTTTCGATCCAAGTTGTGAGTGTGTTCTAATTCGATGACAACGCATGCGGCGGCGGCGGCGGCGATGGTGTAACGGTTAGCGTACTGGATTGTTGTACCCAAGTTCGCGGGTTCAAACCCGATCGAAGCCGTAGATTTGTAAGGGCGAAAAAATCCTTCGTACGCCTTCCTTCGGAGGGGAAGTAAAGCCGGCTGTCCCATGTTCGTAGATTTACTTGCATGTAAAAGATCCTCAAGCCTAAATGACGCCTCTGAGCTAAATTCAAAATCACATGTTTCTCGCCCAAGAAATAACTCCTTTCTCTCCTAGTTGGTGAAAGGAGCGTAGCGAAATTGCGTGGTCAGACGGAAGAGCGGGCCTGATGGCCCGAGTCTCGCCACGTAAAATAAGGCAAATTCAATTCAATTCAATTCAACGCAGAGAACCTGAAGCAAGAACCGCGCCCGCCTACCTGAAGTCCTGGCCGTCGGCGAAGTCCCAGGCGGACGCGTGGCACACAATCTCCCGGTCTGCAGGCTTCTCAATGATGGAGCGCTCCCAGAAGCTCTCAGGCATGGCGCTCAGATTGAGCGACGTGAAGAACTCCTCCGCCAGCCGGAACATGCGCAGAGGGGTGTAGTTCTGCCGACACATTCGTTGATTAGGGTTTCGGGCTCGTCATCTGCTAGGGCCATTAGTCCCGTATGAGCACCCGTGAGAAAATGCTCTCGAGGCACAGCGGCGAAGTCGCTTGCCTTTCACTACTGAGGTTCCGGGGTTTGTTTCCCGTAGTATACCCCGTAGAACCTCATGTGAAATTTGTTACGACAAAAACAGTTGGCATGCTTCACAGGAGCTAGTCCAACCCCTGTGAAGTGTCATAAACCCTACCCCAATTCTGGCCGCTGAGTAGTGACGCAGGGTCAGGTGGTTGGAGTCGCGTACGCGGAGATGCTACTTGGCGGTCCTCCTGAAAACTCACTGCGACGTGACGTGACGTGACGGATATGACATGACATGTATGAATTAACGGAGGATTACTCCGGAAGCGCAAAGCGCTCAACGTTCCCCGAGGCCTGGAGACGCGTTGCGTCAATTGAAGACGCAACAAAATAAATAAATGAATAAATAAAAGCACTGGAAATTATATCCGTGGAGATAGCGGAGCCCCCCCCCATTAGGAGAACAGTACCCTAGCAAACGCGCGCCCGGACCGCGCGCGATATTTCTTTCCTCTTCCTTGTAATATAATAACCTCACCCCTCACATACACACACGTATAGCGTTTTCCATTCGTTGAAGTGAAACCCACCCCGGTGCATGCAGTGGAGTCTTCGCTCCTCAACAGTGCTGCCCCATACGCGTGAAGGATGAAACAGATTCCGGAACTGCGTCAGTGCGTGTGCGCTGCACAGTGAGATTATAGACAACTATACTTGGTCTGTAACACTTATAGAACTCGAAAAATAAAAATGTTGATTGTTGGTATAATTTTTATAAAAATTATTATTTTTAACAGAACTTGTATGAAGTATTTTGGTAATTCTTACGCCCATAATTAATGAATTATTAACGTGTGATTTCTTTATTTAAAAACTAGCGAAAACTTCAAATGCATATTTGTTGAAATTTCATTTTTCGAGATTTGCCAGTAATCGATAAAGTACACTACATTTTGAACTGAAAGTCTTCTGCAGAATTTTGGGTGTTAAAAATCATTAAAATATTAACATGAACATTTTCGCTGTTGTATGTATAAATATACGAGAAACATTTCTTGGCACATATACACTTATTTGAAAGATTTTGTTAGGGAATTTTTATTTTTACTTTATTAGCGTTTCGAAATCAAGACGTACCTTCACTTTGGTTTCTAAATAGCACTGGATTTGTTAAAATGAAGTTATTCAAAGTTGAATGTTAGGAATACACCAACTAATTTTCCGAACTTCGCGTAAGTCACAAAAATTATTTTAAGACATTTCTTGTAAAACATGAAACATACTCCATCATTCAAAGTGTCCCAGTGTGACAGAAGATTCTCAATTGCCTTCACAATTTCACCATCACTTCACGAGGGAAACATACACTACACGTACGGGACTAATGACCCTAGCCGTTGACGAGTTATAAGACCAATAGCAAAATAGTGACAAGAGCTCTGAACCGTCTCCCTACTTTAATTCCAATGTTGGTTTTCTGGAAGGAAAATATTCCATAGAAATCTTTTGCATTTCGAACAGTGAGTTCCGTCGCTTTTGCATTGGAACAAGGAAATTCGCCTCCCAAAGAGTAATAGTCTGTCTCGTCATAAGAGTTGTGCCGATAACCGCATTAAATTTAACCTCGGCATCTTCAAAACTCGAATATGCACACGAAACAGCAAAGTGAAATCAGAAAAATAATACATTCGCTCATTAGCGACAAATCGCTAGAATTCTGACATCAATAATACGTATTTCTATAAATAAAAATACACGCTGGTTTAATAAGTGTCTCCCTTCTGACCGAAACGAAATTCTTTTCCCATGAAAAAGCACGATCGAGAATTGAAATTCCTTTATCTTCCTGCTCGAAGCTATATACGTCAATTCTAGATCCTAAGGATGGAATAATAGTGCGCCATAACCATGTAAGTTCGCCGAGCAAGCTTAACTTTTCTGCAACAAATTTTTTACACTTATTAATTATACTTATTACGCAAATTAAACACATTTTTACAAATTGTAAATCTTGGTGATCTATCTTTACATATTACATATCAAGATTCCAAACATCTTAAAGAAGTTCTAGACTCCAAAATTATAACAAGCGATAAATTACCTGCTCCTGCATCTTTGGAGTAGCATCTGTAGCTTGTGCATTTGGAAAAGGTTTTGAGAACTGATATATTCCTTCCCATGTTTGAGACCACATATTTCCTGGAACAAAATATGCGTTAGAATAAATGTTCAAGACTTCTACGACATGAAGAGTGTTCGAAGAAAATAACATTTTGCCAAAAAAACATGGGGAAGAAATTTCATATTACGAAGCTTCACTTATAACATTTGCTCCTGACTGATAGGCAACTCACACTACACTTGTGCTTAGCAGTTAGCAGTCTAATGAAAAGGCATTTCTAGACTCCCTAAACAATAGCGAAGGACGAGATGCAAGTTGGGCAAATGTCCCTTCTGAAAGTTCTATATATGAGATTTCCCACATCATGTTCATTGGCAAAACGTAACTACCTTCGACCACCTTACATGCCCTAGAAGGTTGTAACATTTGTTCTAAGACATCTATATTAGGGACTTTTTGCACAGCATATGTACACCAGTCAACTGCAATCTCTATATTTTAAGCAAGCGCGGATGTACGTGTGTGATGCTAGTGATGCAACTGACGCGAAATTCGAACTGCGCAAGCGCAGAAGATCGATGGTGATATCGATTACTGTAATGATTCGTCCTGCTATAACTCTCTATTTAAATAACACGCAAGCCGAATCAATCTATGATTTATACTTTTTGTTAATAAAGTTCCGTGGCTGCGTTGGGTCGACGTACCGAGCAGGTGCGCAGGGATGGGCCCCTGCTGAGTGACCTCCGCGTCCCCGTAGCGCATGCGCAGATGCCTGCGCACGTAGGCGTGCAGCTGTTGGTACAGAGGACGCATCTGCTCCCACAGGCGCTGCAGCTCTTCGCGGAAATTGGGGGTTTCGTAGGCTTTCAACCACAGCCCGGACAGATCCGTGTAATCTGCAACAGATGTAGTGCATGTGGAGTGCAGACAGACAAAACTTTGGTTGTAAGTAGTATTGGAATGAGGTCCCTGCGACTGCATTTTAACCCTTTGGTTTAGGTACACAAACGTTTCAAAATAATTGTGTATTTTGTTAATTTATTTATTATATTTGTTATACCATATATTGTTGTTCATATTATTTATTTTCAGTACATTAAATTATCCATTCTGTTTAATAAAATTTAATCCAGTAATTAGGATCGTGCTTGAATCAAAGGGTTGTGTTGTGAAGAGGAATGGAATATTTCACGAGAAAGAAAGGTGAAGTGCGAATCGAAATTCTTTGTGACTTCAAGTGATTATGTTGATGACCTTCTGTCATCAAATTTCGAAGCGTCAGTCATGAAGATATTGTCTACAACTAAGAAACGAATTTCAGAGGTTTGTCGCAGAATATTTTAAGAACAGTCAATGTCTTAAGATATCTCAACACTATCCGAAGACAGTGATTATCTGCCTCCTATTGAAAAACAACTTATTATTTAGTGTGGCCTCTTTGCTGATGATATCTTGCGAGCTACCGTATCTCAATATTTCTCATCTCTACATATTAACATGTGTGATATTTATCTTGCTGACATAAAACTAATTATACGTGTTTTTAAATTCGAACGCGGTACGTACAATTGAGTCAACGGTTTTATTAATGTCATTAGATTCACCACAGTGCTCAGTGTTGACTGCGTTCTTACTGTTGAGTGCTTTCTTAAAGTTGAGTGAGTTTAATAATTCTGTTAATAAATACTGTGGAGCGTGACTGCCACCTTGCTGATGGAATCTCACGTTTAACAAGATATCTTAGTATATTCAGACCGGTTCCTACTGATGAGTGAATACTTACTGTTGAGTTAGCACTTGCTGTTGATTGAGCACTTAGTGTTGACCCCAGTCACCTCGGTGTCGCAACATTTATGAGTCGAGAGCGTCTTTGGATTCAGACGTGGTACATGCTGTTGACCGAGTGCGGCTGTCTCGCTGCTGATGCCATCTCATGTTTTGAAAGCGACCTTACATGCAAATCGTCCTAAATTGTTAGCAAACCGTACTATTAAGATAGAACTACCTGTTTTGCTCGATCGCCTCGCTGCTCATGACATTACGAATTGAAAGCGTCTTTAAATTAGAAGTGCTATTGAGCGATCCTTTACTTTTGACCGCAGCTACTCCGTTGTCAACAACATTTCGCGGCCTGTAATGTCCTACGATTCAGAGCGGTATTCTTTGTTTAGCGAACCCTTGCGTTTGTTGTTTAGAGTAACGGTTGCATGTGCAGTTATTTCTTAGTGAATACTTACTGTTAAGTGAATTCTTACTGTTGGGTGAGCACTAACGGTGGGCCCAATACGTACTGTTAGGGAATACTTGCTGTTGAGTGAATACTTACTGTGGAGTGAATTTTTACTGTGGAGTGAATTTTTACTGTTGAGTGAATTCTTACTGTTGAGTGAATGCTTACTGTTGAGTGAATGCTTACTGTGGAGTGAGTTTTTACTGTGGAGTGAATTTTTACTGTGGAGCGAATTTTTACTGTGGAATGAATTCTTTCTGTTGAGTGAATTCTTACTGTTGAGTGAATTCTTACTGTTGAGTGAATTCGTACTGTTGAGTGAATTCGTACTGTTGAGTGAATTCTTACTGTTGAGTGAGCACTAACGTTGGGGTCAATACTTACTGTTAAACGAACACTTACAGTGGAATATAAACTTACTGTAGAGTGAGCTCTCACGGTTGGGTGAGCACTTACTATGGAATGAATACCAATTGTTGAGTGAACACTTACTGTTGAGGGCGGCCGCCTCGTTGCTGATGGCGACGTACTGCTCGAAGAGGCCCCGGACTTTCTCCCCGGACACACGCCGCCACTCCACCCACGCGTGGCGCAGCTCGTCGGCGTCTCCGGAGTTAGCCAGGAGCTGCACCAGCTCTGCGCACGCGCGGGCGCACGAGAGCGCGGTTAGGACACCCACACTCCGCAGCGCCATTGAGAAGCGCCGGGCCTTTTCAAACACTGCCACCGACCAGCGCCACTGAGCGTGGGAAAGGCAAGATTCGTGAGCTACATCGCTGCGAGCGCTGGCGGATGGAAGGCAGATAACGTGTTTCGAGCTAAGCTCAGTGGCGCATCAGCGTGGCCTAGTGTGAAGGCTTTCATTTGTAACTGTGAGCTTCTAGCGGTGGAGCGGAGGCGCGTCTGCGTTGCTGGTGGCCGGAGGTCGCCACTCGCCGCCTCAGCAGCGCCACGTCGTTCGAGTGTATACCTCCATTTAAAGCAATTGTTTGCAAAAGAGCAGCGGCACGTCGTTCGAGTGTATACCTCCATTTAAAGCAATTGTTTTGCAAAAGAGCAGCGCCACGTTCGTTGAGTGTAACCTCCATTTAAAGCATTGTTTGCAAAAGAGCAGAGCACGTGTTCGAGTGCATACCCATTTAAAGCGATTGGTTTGGCAAAAGAGCAGAGCCACGCCGTTCGACGTGCATCTCACATTTAAGCAATTGTTTGCAAAAGAGCAGCGCCACGTTCGTTCGAGTGTACACCTCATTTAAAGCAATTGTTTGCAAAAGAGCAGGCACGTGGTTCGAGTGTATACCTCATTTAAAGCAATTGTTTGCAAAGATGCAGCGCAGGTCGTTCGAGTGGATACCTCCATTTAAGCAATTGTTTGCAAAAGAGCAGCGCCACGTGTTCGAGTGTAATACTTCCATTTAAAGCAATTGTTTTGCAAAGAGCAGCGCCACGCCGTTCGAGTGGTATACATCCATTTAAAGCCAATTGTTTGCAAAAGAGCAGAGCCACGCCGTTCGAGTGCATACTCCATTTAAAAGCAATTGTTTGCAAAGAGCAGGACGTCGTTCGAGGGGTGTAAACCCATTTATAAGCAATGTTTGCAAGGAGAGCAAGCGGCCACGGTCGTTCGGTGTTACTCATTTGAAAGCAAGTTGTTTGCAAAAGAGCAGCGCACGTCTGTTCGAGTGTGGGGCATACTCCATTTAAAGCAATTGTTTGCAAGAGCAGAGCACGTCGTTCGAGTGCATACTCATTTAAAGGCATTATTTTGCAAAAGAGCAGCGCCTCTCAGAGGCCCGACTGGATGACTTCGTGTGAAAGGGCCCTAAGCCTCATAACAACGCCACTGCTTTGTGAATATACCTCTATTTAAACTAATGTTAAAAATTAATGTTTGCGAGCATCATCGTCTCTCAGAATTGCTGCTCAGTGACTCCATGTGAAGAGGCTCTAAGCGTCGCAGCAGCGCCACTGCATTTCTCCTGTAAATACCTCCACTTAAATCAATGAGAGCGTGGGTGTGATGGCTTCTTAAATTGAACGTAGCTAATTTAAAAAATATAGAAAAATAACACAACCTGTGATAGCTGATTAATATGCAATTTTTGGTACAATTGTTAATAAAACAATGGGTGATAATTCTTCACTCACCGTTTTTTACAAACATTTTTTCCGAATTCTAAGGCCCTTTTTAACTAAATTTTACAATCATGTCATTGGCATCGCTGATATTCCTCATTTTCTCGACAATGAAGGAATTAGGATATTTGTAAATCATGAATTGTGGCTTTACAATCACAAATCTATTTTGTCTTCTTCTAAACTTAGTTGAAACTAGTTCTTTGTGATAAAAGTAAGTTATTTCCCAATTTATTCGAAGCTCAGCTTGAAGATGCCATAGCGGCCTGTTTTCTTGTGATTGTCAATGAATTAAATTACTTTCTGTATTAAAATATCTTAAAGTCCATTTATTTTTTGTTAATTAAATATATATATTCGTTAACAATATGATAGCACTGAGTTGTCATAATTGACCTGAATTTGCTGAGTTAGTGGATATTTTGCAAAGAAACAAAGGAACATTACCGGTTTGGAAAAGAAAGTGTTATAGCATATTCAGGAAAAAAAGTGACAAGCACCAGCCACGGATTACAAATAAACATATCTTATTGCTCTATTAGTGAGGAGGAACTTCGGTAATGGTGTAAAAATGTGAAAAGAATTCCATTTTGAGGATACAGTGTAAGGCTGGAACCCACAAGTCCTATTCATTCTCCTACTGTGAGGAAATCGAGGAAAATACTATATAAAGTACTAGTTACGAACTCCGCGGTACCAACGGAGATTTTGTGATAATCCATAATTCATTAATTAACTTAGTAATAGTTTAAAATTAAAGGTTGGCTTTAAAATTAATGAGTATTAAAACTATTGTGGTTGATGTATCTTTTAACATTATGAAGTGCTAGAAATAAATTATCGAACCTAGCGCTCAATCAGTAAGTTGCCCTGTAGTACTCGCACACGTTTTCTTGATACACGAGCACCCTAGTCCTCGACCAGCACTGAATAGCATGGCACATTGAGATACTTAGGTTCGGCTCTGAACGTTACGATACAATTTACAATGCTGGCAAAAACCACCTCGCACTTTCAAAACAATCGTAACATCTCTCTTGGCACGCTTTGGCGCATTAAGTTCATTCCCACAGTTGGTATGCCCTTTTAAGCCGAGACGTAGCTAGAGCCCTCCTCTTCCCACACCTCCCGCTGTGAAACATCAAGAAATCTTGCGCGTATATTACTTCATCAACCAATTGTACCTTCACTTCTAATGCTAATGAGGAAGAAAAATTGAAAATGGTGAGAAGTTGCATGACATTTCTTATGTATTTGTAGTAACTAAATCTATTTATTATAATGCTAGAAAATGGTGCATCTTAATGTGAATTAATTCATCCTTTCCGAAATTTTGCTAATTAACTTAGGAGAAAGCACTTGTAGGATTTATAAAAATGTCAATTATTATATTTCAGTTAATCATACAAAATTACGTGAACAATAGTTAAACTTTTACAAACAACTTTGAATTACCTGAATAGTAGGTTTGTGTAATGATAAGAAATAGTGTTTCTATCGACAAATAATTCAACGAATTACGATACCTTTATATAATGCTCCTGGAAATTAAAATCTAAAATTAAATAAACATTGGCTCATTCATAAATGATCTGATGATTGATCATATTGATCAATTGTCAATTGGAATGCCATTCATATCGTCAAAGTAACATTGAATTATAATTGGTAGATACGGAACACGCATCATAATCACTATATTATTTCGCCATTACAACATACCTGGCTCCAGACTGAGGTTACATTTGGTTCGATTATGGAAATCACACACTTTAGCGGTACTGTAAGTTCCTTGCATCTGGCCAATAAGTCTCCCAAGCTGAGAACAGAACAAGACGTTGGAATATTTAAGCGCCATCTCATAATGATGCAGAGTCGAATGATATATTGTTATATTATTGTTGTTATAAAACCGTGTATTGAAAATAAAACTCAACAGCTTATCTTTGTGGTCATAATTAAGAAAATACAAACAGTTTTAAAATTTGTGCTGGTCCCTGTGACCGTTTCACTGACTTCCAAACCTCTGGGTTAAGGATACGACGGTAGATTTTCCAAGGACACAAAATCGTAAGTGCGCCATTTAACGTCTGTGTGACGTGAAAGCGGTTGTGATTTGAGAAATATCTCTGCTTAAATGCGCAGCAAATTTCACTTTTAAATCCATTTTCTCTACCACTTGGATTCGACCTGCCTCGGAAAAGTTGTGTTTCCCTACTCAGAGCTCGCATTGGCATAGGTCGGTGCTGTGACAACCTTCACAAATGAAGATTTAGTTCGAGTCCTGTCGGTGTCTATGCACATCTGCCACGGGAGATGTCATCTACAAGTGTCCGCCCAGGACCTTCAGCGGAATACAAGACGTTTCTCTTGGCGCAACACTAACACGCACTTCACAAGCGCACATGCCAGGTCCTTAGAGCTTGTCCCGGCTGGTGTGGTGCCCCGCTGGTAGAAGATACCTGGTTGGGAAAAACCCGCTATTCGACGGTATGTCGACGCCGAATCTCACTATACAGCGAGGCAAAGATCCGCCACCTCACGAGCAAAGACATGCACTACACTTACGGTACTAATGTCCCTGGTAGCTGACGTGATCGGAATCACTAAAACAATCAATCAATCTTAGTGCATCAGGTGAACCTGTGCAGTGGTTCGACTCTCTGGTCTCTTGTCCGCTTTTTCCGTGATGAAACATTTCTCTAATTTTTTTTTTAAATTTTGATTTGTATTTATATTGGGGGCCCCTTGTTAACTATAAGCTACATAATAACAGCTACTTTCCAGAATTGTTTTCTTTGTGTCCTTTCACACTCGTGTACTATACGCGCTAGTTTACTCCTAACCAATGAATATCTTCAACGTTTTTTGGGATTTTATATTATGACCCAGTCTCAGAAGGTATCCGAGTGATTTATTAGCACTAGTAATAATTTCCATAAAATCGGGTTTAAATGTTAACTGTCTATCAAATGTGACTCCAAGGTCATAAAAGTAATCCACACTTTGCAAATCTGTATTATTTAATGTATAATTAAAATTGATTTTATGTTTCCTATAAAATGATAAGACCTTACATTTCCCAGGGATTAGCACTAATGTGTTCGTTTGACGCCAACTAGCAAATTCATCAATATTTCACTGTGAAGACAAACAATTATTAGTACTTTTAATAGGGAGAAATAACTTCGTATTATCCACATTTAAAAGTCAAGTTATCTCCAGGGTCAGAACTGATATTGCCTCCTCTGAAACACTTTTTGGATTCGGCACTGGTCACGTGTGTCTCACCTGTTGGAAGCGCTCCGGAGGCAGAGTGGCCATGCCGAGGTCCGCAATGACCTCGAACTGCCGCCTGGTGTCTCTGTTTTGAAACGAGCGCCAAGGAAATTGCACCAACTGCTGCCACTGCTGCTTCTGATATGTCGCCATCTCCACCGCCGCCTGGAGCTGCAGAGTGCAACGTATATGTAAAATCTTTGCTAATTCTTATTTACGTAGCTAGTACAAAACAGTCTTTGGCGCGTGAGTAAAATGTTGACTTTTGGGAAAGAGTACGCCAAAGACAATTTTGTACTGAGTTACAAGTTAAAAAAAGGACAGTTATGTACATTTAAAATATTTAGTTACATGCATTGTCTTTTAGTACGAATTCTTGGAAACTTATGAGTATACTCTTGAGATGATTCTGAATATATGACGCAGCAGGCAGCAATGTTGATTCATGTCGTCCCAGTGTTTTATTTACTTTGCGGTATTCATTTATTTTGTAGGGCAATGAATTCTTTGCTGTACGCATAGGCAAAGTCTGTTTTGCAGCATGTGTACAGCAAAATAACACTTTACAACCAATAAGCAAAGAAGATAAGTACTAGTTTCCGTTCACAAGTGCTGAAAAAATATGTTATTTAATGCAGCAGAAAGAAGTGCGTACTTTTTCGACAGAAGATATTTATGACACGAGTAGTAAAAGTGACATTTTATTTTGTGGGTAGGAAACAATGCGTTACGAGACCGAGAGACCAGATTGGCGCAATGCTGCAAGCAAAATAATAATACATTATGAAACGATGACGTAATGATGAGTAAGAATATTACTCGCGCAAGTTTTCTTGATACCCGAGCTCTCTAGTCTTCGCTCAGCGCTGAATAGCACGGCACGTTGAGATACTTAGGTTCGACTCGGAAGGGCACGTACCAATTTACAATGCTGGCAACAACCATCTAATACTTTTAAAACAATCGTAGCAATTCACGTGGCACGCTTTGGCGAGTTAAGTTTATGCCCACAGTTGGTACGCCCTTTTAAGCCGGGACGTAGCTAGAGCCCTCTCCCCGCACACCCCGCTGTGGAATATCAAGAAAACTTGCGCGTATAGTACACGAGTGTGATATTACGATAAGAGCGAGTATCGTAAACTTTACATGAGTGTATTAATACCTATTACATCGAGTTTCACCCGGTACTTTTTCTACGACTAATGGTAACTTTTGTAAGTTAAACGTTTACATAAAATCGTTTCGTGACATGTACGATTCAGCCAAGGCCCCAGCGGACAGCTACCCTATCTGCCGCAACTGGCTTTGATTTATCAGTTCGCCTGCGAGAGAGTACAGAAGTTGCAGCAATAATTCCAAGGTCACCATTTTCGCTATTTCTCTTATTTCTGGAGGTGCCAACTCAACTTCTGAGGCACTAGACATTTTAAACTAAAGAACTGGTCGTTTTACTCGTAAAGGTCGACCACACGGAAACATACATCACAAAATAAGTTGCGTCAATCTTAACGACAATCAAATGTTCCATCTACCACTACCACTGCGCTAGTCAAATAGGATCAAAGTGACATTGCGATTCAATTTATTTTAAATAAAATTTCACATAAAAATTACTAATAATAAAAGGAATTAAGACTCACAAACATAATGTAATATAAAATGCAATTTTAATGTACACAATCGAACAAAGCATTGAGTAGAATGATTCTCAATGACTTATGAAGTGTCAATACTTGGTTTGTAAACTTCTCTGTGATTGATAAAGAACTTGTATCATAATGAAATCTGTAACGTAATTTGTAGCATTATGCAACGTATTGCAGCCATCAAATTACACAATTATACAAAGGGAGTAGAAAAAATTAATTTTGTCACTATCATTCATTATTTTTAGGCAGCCTTACTGAATTTCATTTTATTTTAATTCATGAATACAAATCACTTAATAATAAATTAAAATCCGTAGGAGCGGAAACGGTCAGACAAAAATACTTTGCTTTCTTTGTTGCAGTCAAAGATTTATCTGAACACTAGAGCATCGTTTCACCAGTGACTTTTTAAAGTGCAAACAAATTGAACTTTTAACTGGCTACGCATGCCCTGAAGGAGCCGCATTTAGTAGGGACTCTCTAAAAATCATGTTTTATGCGTCCCAGATACCAAACAATTGGATTATTCTTGTTCCGATAGGTAATCCATTGCATTCTAGCGTACGTAGAATAGTCATAATCTACATTTTGCGAGTCTATGACACCGAAAAAGTTCTTCGTTTTTTCAAAACAATTGTCAGCCTGACTATCCGTTTGCGAAGTACTACACTCGCAAGTTTTCTTGATATTCCCCAGTGGGGGTTGCGAGGAGAGAGGCGCTCTTGCTTAAAAGGACGTCACGGCTTAAAAGAGCGTTTTAAGTTGGCGAACTTCACTCGCCAGTGCGTGCCACGAGAAATGCTACGATTGTTTTGAAATGCAATGATGTCAGCATTGCAAATTGGTACGTACCGTTTCAAGTCGAACCTAAGTATCTCAACTTAACCGTCCTATTCAGTGCTGGGTGTGGACTAGGGAGCTCGTGTATCACGAAAACTTGAGCAAATAATAATATTGGCTAAACCGTACACAGGATTTTCACCAAAATGGAGTGCGCCCAACGATCTGACAGATGTTGCGGCCCCTAAAATACGGAACGGATATATTAAAGATTGAGGTTTTTTCTTCATTAAACCACTAGGGTGTTTGCGTGTAATAATCGCGCAAATTTTCTTGAACGATGGATTGAAGAAATGTGGGTAGAGGGGGGTATTAGTTACGAAATCTCCAACTACATTTTATGAAGCAATGACAATCTCTGGATAATCAGTCATACCTTCTCAACTTTCTCAATAATTTGCTTTTTAACTTTCTCAAGAGTTCGAAGTATTTCCTGTGATGGATCTTCACCTGCTTCGGTAATTTCTTTCGATTTTTTGGATAAAATCACGGACTGAAGTTCTCGTCTTCAACAGAAAATAGTTTATATTTCGCGTCAATGAAAATGTGTTTGCAATGTTGTCTTCAGTGCTCGCTTTTGCGAGCTTTTGAATTCAACTGTTTATTGTGCCAGAGAGGGGGAAGCAAGTTCGTTGAAGGAAAGTTGCGCGATTAATAATGTTGTATTATTTGTGACGAATGGTATAGTCTACGTGCATCCACCGTGATGGAGAACGTTGATTCTGTCTAGAGAATTGTCGAATATTTTTTCAAGAATGGCGTCAAATATTTTCTTAATTTATGTTCCTCAAACAGAGGAAAGTACGCTAATAAGAATGGTGGAGGTCTGAATTTCAGAAAGCCTTCAAATTTTCAAAGATCGCAAACATTTTCATCGCAATGCAAAAGCGTTGCGAAGTTCAGACTGTTTATTGACCATAGTAGTTGACGCGCTCTGGAAAACTAATCAAATAATCAATCGTCCGTGACTGACAAATACCCACGACGTCACACTCTGGAAACGCCACCGTGTTCCATTGTACCTGGAGTTGCATGTTGTGGTCAGTGAGATTAGAGGCGTACGCCCAACTGGCCAGCTTGTAGCGATTCAGCAGTGTTGCCATTCCTCGGGTGAAATCCTCGAGAAACTGTTTGCCCGCCATCTCCTCAGCAGAGGGCGCCGGCGTCGGTGTCGGTGCGGGAGACGGCGCCACCGGGAGCAGCACCATCGCCACCAACATGGCCACCAATGCTACGAAAATTTGAGCCGTTTTAACTGAATTCAAATTTACAAAAAAACGAAAGAAAAGAATCGAAGCATATGTTTAAATTAAAATGGGAATTATATCTGGTCTTCATTAGTACCGTCAAGATATTTTCCCATTTCAGATTCATCTCTCAGATTTTGTCATAGCCATACAGTGTACCCTCGTTAACACGATTTGGAAGGCACCGAAATAATCGGTGTTCGTTTCATAAACATTCGTGTGATTTGATTATTATCTACATCCCTATTCCTACTATGTTTCCTAGCTTTGACTCAAATTTTCATACAGCGTATTTCGTGTTAAGCGTCTACGTGCTAACGAGAGTACACCGAAATATAATGGGACGCACCAACTCTCCTCGAGTTGCCAGAGCCATTGTACTCGTCGTCTGGTGCTGTCGTGACACAAAAAACGAGTACCGCAAGTTTGAGGAAAGTACTTTGTAATATCGACGAATTGACCAGTCCTTCAGTGAGCTTCATTTTGTTTGCGGACGCGTCGACTGCTTCGGTCATTAGACCCGTAATTGTGCATATTTTATCACCGGAGGAGGCGGTGTTCTTCTCCGCGATGAATGGCGAAATCCGGTGCCGACTTATACATCGGCTTGCGAGGTTTCTCGCATTCAGTAATCTCCCACCAGCAGAGCACCACCAGCCGGAACTAGCTCTAAGTTCTCGACTGGTCTTCCGACATATTTGGTAGTGTGGTGCATGTTAGTGTCAATGGGTTAGGGGGTAAGGGCTCACAGTCGCCACGTACCCACTCGCTCGTCTTATCACACGTATGGATGGGTTTCATGGTTGCATTGCGATACTTAGGAACAATAGGCAATGCAGAATCAAGTACGGAGAGAGCGCGATCTTTGGAAAAGGATGTAGAGAAATTACCAATAAAAAACAAACTATGACATACCGAAAATAATCGGAATATCGGGACTCTCATTATATTGGGAATGAGTAGATGAACCCTCCTCTAACATGTATCTATGGGGACACCGGGAAGGTAGAATAAATAAGATGTCAGAGTAAAATGGGGCTGCTGAGCAAGGCCTAATGGATATATGCGTGACAGATAGCGTCGGTCGAGTCTAAAAGAATAGTATGATAATTAATGGTGGAATTTTTGTTTATGAATCAAGTACGATTATTACAGGCTACGTGGAATGGTGAAGAGCAAGATCCCATATGGCCGGCGTTGGACGTGCTATAGTGATGTTAGTGAGTGGACAAAATACAAAGAAAGATCTTCGTGGCGACTTCCACCCGAAAAGATGAAGAGCGCGCGAAGATCGGTGACGTATCTTAAAAAATATTTTCAATAATTTAAGAAAATATTAATTAGACGTCATGACTAAAAAATTACGAGTTCAATTGAGTTATAATAGAATAATTGAAAATAAATATCAAGTATCATTAAAAGTAGATAAAAAAGAAATTTCCAGAAAACTTAATTTTTCGTACGTCTAACAGTTGCAGTGACGGGGGAGTAAATAAAATTACATAATCGAACCCGAATGAATTGTACTAATGCAGCACGCAGGGTACATTTGACGAATAAAATCAGAAAACATTACAATACGAAGCAAACAATTGACAATAATTTATTTTTAAGGACAAAAGAATATATTGATATTTTCAGTTTGTGCTGTTAATATATTTTACTGTATTTCTATATTAATAAAATTATGAATTGTGGAGAAATTATCTTTAATTTTGCTATCATCGGATAAAGTGACCACTGATACAATGAACAGAAAATGTTACTCCCCAGAAATTCACTATTACCGGAGTCTATTATATTTATGAACATAACAAATTTTGTAGGAATCGTATCCATCAGGTGCTAGTATCAAGAACTCATTAGAACAAATTCAAATATTATACTTGTTACTTTAGATGTCATTCAACGCGAGATGTCATTAAACTATTAAAAACAACACACAATTTTCAGTGAAAAGTGAAATCTTTTCTGTCGCATAGCTATTTCTACTCAATTAATACTTCATTATCAAAAAGGAAAATTATGTTCATTTTGTTAATTATAATTATGTATTATGTAACATTTGTACAGTATTATATTAAAAGACTAAATATGCCTCTAACAATAACGTACATCAGTTTCTAGGTCAATGTCCTCGTCCCGATTTTTTCCCGTCAGAGATGGCTCCTTGTTTTACACCAGGAGATAAATGTAGTTTCACAAATAATACGTTTTGTGAAGCTGTCCTGCTAGTTGTGGTAAGAATATAACCGATGGAATGAAGTGTTTATTTGTTAACAAAACCATACAATCGCATATGTAGTTCGTTTTCCGATGAAAATAAGTGATACTTCTAAGGGTAAAAATTTGAAGTTTTCAAATCATTTAACTATGTTTTGTTGGTCCTTTTATTCATCATTTAATTACTCTTAGCAAAAGGGTGGGGATACTGGAGCTCAAAAAAACGTGAGCATACTTCCGTCACATACTTCACAGAGATTTTTTACTGTTTTTTTGAAACTAAACAAACCCGAATGGGGAATAATAATAAAAAACATTTAATAAAGTGAGAAAGTAACTCCGGCCCTATAACAGCACATACTTTCTCACGTTATTTCTAACTTTTGTGATTTTCAAATATTCATCCAGATAAAAAAATACGCCATTTTTGAGAAAATATTCTTTTTTTATAAAATGTATTGACTTCAACCAGAAAATACGTGAAAACTACTCTAGAACTAGGTTTTAGAAAACAAAAATGTATATAACCTTTTTAAAGATCTGATTTTAAAGCATATGTATGGGAGACAAAAATTACAATCCTCAATATTGTTGTTTGCAATGTTATTTTTTTTTTTAATTTTCAAAATTGAAGAGTTCTCCGAAAATGAGACCAGCAACACGTTTCTATCATACTTTAACAAGGAAAAAATTCAAAGAAAACATTTGGAGCTGTTTTTGAGAAAATATATTTTAAACAATTGCCTTTATTTCACGTAAATTTAAGAGAATAGGTACTCATATTTTAGAAAAATTGTGCATGACTCTATTACAAAATTTTGTCTCTTAACAACTGATATCATTAAGGTAAATTCTCTGTCTTCACTTTTTAGAAAAATAAAATAAAACTTTGTGTAAAGAACCCCCCAAAATCAAAATATTCGCCTCAAGTTCGTTTAGATCAATCATGGAATAGTAATTTTGAGAAAATCGTCCGACAGGTTTAAGTGATAGCGTTGGACACGGACGGACAGACGGTTTTGCCGGCAGTCGAAGGACACACAAAAAAATGAATTCGAAAAAGTGAAAAGGATTAATGGGGTAAAAAAGAACGATTTCAATTTTTCTATTAATAGTCTAAAACAAGGGATTATTGTACTAATCGCGTTTAAATCGCCGGTTCCCGCTTCTCACCTGGCGAGACCTCCATTTTGCGCTGGTGCTCCGTCGAGTCGGTCGGTCCAACTGGCGACGGCTGCTTTCCGCCTGGGGGCCAGTGCCCCGTCCCAGCGGCCCCGCCAGACAACCACCAGGCCAGCGGCCTATCGTCCCAGATGGACGCCTATCACAAAGCGTGCCCTCGCGCCCGCGCCCACGGCCGCACCCAGATGAGCGATCGGGGGGTGGGGGGTGGCAACCTTTCCCCATCCGAAACACTTTTAAAAAATTGTTTACGTCAAAAACAGTTAAAAACTGTGTGTGACGTGCTATGGGGAGAAGTTAATTTGATGTTACATTTATGTCCAGAAGCATAACAAGGGGCCAACTCAGCATTTGCTCAAGGATCAGGGAAACTGGACGAAAACCTGATCGACATGGGGGGGGGGTCATTGACCCAGAAACTGTAGTACAATACTCTTTACAGTTTCTTTACAATTATACAATCCAAATGAGATATAATACATTAAATGACATTTTTAAAATTACGAAAATCTGATGAAGATGGGGGTTTATTGACGCCTAGTAGCTGAAGTACATTACTTTTTACAGGTTCTATAGAATTATATAATCCAAATGGTAAATAATACACTAAATGTCGTTAATTAATGTTACTTACTTTTTGGATGCTCAATATACTCTCTAATTGTATAGAAACACTTGTGCAACAGAAAAGATTTTACTTGGGACGTTTGTATCGAATTTAATCGTTTAATGTCATCTGGCAAGGTGTAAAATAATGTACATGTATTGTATGTGACGTTTTTGTAGTGAGCTGTTGATACTGTCACCTGATGAATATGACATCAAGTGTTGCAGTTATAAATATCAGCGTTTTCTGAAAATATATTTCCGCCCTTAAGTTAAGTCATTTTTGACAAAAACCACTGATTCATATATCAAGAAACAAGGTAATGGTAAGATATCTAGATTAATGAAAAGAGGCTTACAAGTCACCATTCACAACAAAAATTAAAATATATAACCCTAAATTTTATATAATTGTATGGCGAATGTACGTTAATTAATTGTGAAAAGGAAATAATGTATTGCCATTGCCGAAAATGCGAAATAATATATTTCACTGCTCTTAGCGGGCTCCGATGGTTCAGTGGTTGCATAGTTGCCTGTGCAGCAACGTTGGTCGAGTCGTCCTACGGTTCGAGACCCGCTAGGGGGAGTATATTCAATGCTAGATAATACATATTTCATATATAAGGGGGGGTTTCAACCCTCTAATATTAATAAAAAAATAAATTATTCATAGATTTGTGCCTAGGCTGGGTCTGTCCTTTATATCCAACAACCAGTTGAGAGGGGTTTGAAAACATGCAACAGAAAAGCAAAAATTACTATTTTATATTTATGAAGGTACATGTTTATGATGCATATATTCTTTTGTACTGTAGAATGAGTGGTTTAACAGGTTTCAGTTTACTTTTGAATGTGTGTAATGATAAACTCGTTAATATTAATTTTCATTAATTTAATTAATTTAATTTTAAATAATTTTAAATTTAATTATGCTTTTAAATTCATTAGGAAGTTTACTATGTGTAATGCCTTCTAGAAGGGTACTTTTTTAAAAAAGTGAAGTTTCACTGTGTAGAACATGCAGATTACTTTTTTTGTCTAGTATCATAGTTATGAACTTCTGTGTTCAGAGTAATAGAATCCTTGTTTCCCATAAGTGTCTTCTTTGTGAAGATTAATATTTCAAATATGTACATGCATGGGAGTGGTAGTATTTGTAATTTATTGAACATTGCTTTTTGAACATGTTTGTAAATGTTTGTCATTGTCCTCAATATTCGTTTTTGGATGATGAAAGTGTGAATACTTTCTGGGGAATTTCCCTAGAATATTATTCCGTATTTTAGATGCAAGTTAACATTTGCAAAGTATACCTTTTGCAGTATATCAAAGTTAGAATTTGTCTTCAGGATTCATATGGCATAACATGACTTGGTTAGCTTGTTGTTAAGATTTGTGATATGGGAGTTCCATTTTAGATCATCTTGAATAGTCAATCCAAGGAAAGTTTTTTGGGGGGCTATTTTTACAGGCATGTTTTTTATCATCAATTGTGCCGGAGGCTTTTCTTTAGAGAGTGGATTCCGAAATTTTAGGGAGGCAGTTTTACTAGTGTTTATGATGAGTTTATTTTCCTGGAACCATTTTACTAATTCCTCTAGCACTGTTTGTGCTTCTTTTTATAGAGTTTGTTGTGTATTTGCTTTAATAATAATGTTTGTGTCATCTGCAAAAGAAATAAAAGAAACTTACCAACATAATATTAAGTAGTTCGCTGGTGAGGTTGATACCTTCTAATAATTAAATACAGTGGACTTTCTGGATACAGAACTTTGTTTTTGGCCCGGAAGCTGCAAGCTCTGAGGATGATCGCTATGCTATCGCATCGATCTTTAGCAATATATATTTTTGATACCAGACAACTTCTTTACTTTTCCGTATTTAACAAATAATATTCATAGACTTGGAAAAGGCTTATGATATGGTGAACAGGGTGAATCCTAAAACAAAGAGACAACCAAAGACAAGAAGCAACTCAAATCAGGATCTTAAGACACCTTGGCTATACTAGACTGGATTGAAAGAGAAATAAAGGCATAAGGTAAGGCCTGAAGACAATCATAACAGAGGATTTTAAAAAGAACCAGAAAATGGATGGAACATATTAAAAGAATGAAAGAAAGATGATTTCCAAAGGCTGCTTTATAATATAAGCCACTTGGACAGAGAGATATAGGAAGACCAAGAAACATGATTTTTGTGAATT